GTTTCTTAGAGGGCGGTTCTTTTGATTAAATTTTTATTATGTTTTCGGTGATCTATCACCTGGAGTTTGAGATTTGAGAATAAATTTATCATTTCTTTATCGCCTCACAATATCGCTATTGGCCTGTCAATGTTTTTGATAATTGAAATTAGATAGGTTTCGAGATTGATAGCCGACATGCACCTTTTTTATATAAAAAAAGGTCCATACGGACCATCTGATGGTAAACGGTTACCGTAGCCTATAAAAGCCTAAAACACCAATTACATGTAGCCGATACTTAAGATACTTTAATATTGGTATATTAAGGTTATAAAAAGTATACCTATACTTTTTATATATGTAGTTTCCACAAACAATTGTGTATATAGTTTCCACAATGGTTTGTGGAAATATAGTTTATACTTACTAATTACGTATATAGTATAAGTGGAATAAGAAAATTAATAATATTTTTTCTGTGAATTAGACACTGAAAAAAAACTATTAGGTTATTATATTGCCTATAAATTATGCCTATGTAGATCCCCCTGCGCTAACAGTGTATAATGATGAGGTATCAATACTCGAACATTTTAGTACATGCCTAACTTTTCCTGTTTCATTGAACTTTAGCGCAAATTGTATCGTCAGATGTGTCCCTATCCCTACTTCCCCTCAATTTAATGCACATCCATTTAATTAAGAACGTTCATTTTGCTCTATCTCGAAAAGTTGCACCTGTGACAAGCAGTGAGGCATTGTTTCACGTTATGATGTGTAGGTACAACTTCGCTGTGTAAAACTTTTTAAATAGCACATTTTTAAACGCTGAAATATGAATTCGAAATACGAATGTTATGTGGAAATTTATTTTTTACTGGGTTCAAACAAGATACAATCCGATACACAGCTTATATATTGCTTTTCAGGGTATGTTACGGTTGAAGGGGCTATAAGACAGTGAATTTAAGGGATAAGAGAATATGTATGAGTGCTAAAAAAATGTTCCGCACGCATAGCGACGTATCGGGTACCCTATAAGCATCTATAGCTAGAAGAACAAAGCGCTCAGTAAAATTTATAAGGGGGGCAGTAACAATTCATGAAATCTGAACGCAAGTGCCTCTGATGCCCGAGAATTAATGAAGCACGCAAAAAGGTCCGGGATGAATGCCACTGGCAAATTAACTTGTAAACTAATTTCGCGAACATTCGCCTTGGGAAGCCGTAAATATTTGTTAATTGTATAAATGGAGATGTATATCTGCTTTAAAGAATAAATAAAGTAGATTCACTTAAATTCTATTTAGTTCGCATTGTTTAAGGTACAGAATAAACAAAGTACAAGAGAAAAACTCAAAGGTGAAATAAAATTTACGAATAAAATTTGATGTTTCATTTTTTCTTTGAGTTACGCTGGTACTTATAATAAATAAGTATATTCCGACTTTTAAGAAAGTTTACTCCGCTAAAATAGGCCTGGACTATGGCCTACGCCTACGGTCTTAAAACGTTGACTATAGATACCTATTATTTTATTATTGAAGACTAATGACTATTAATATAAAATTAAACATTTTATATAATACCAGAACCAAAAAAAAAAACTAATAAATTGTAGCTGAGAACCATCTCGAACACGTTAACTTTCACAGAAAAAACGTATCATAATCGGTCAATTCGTTTAGAAGCTATGATTCCACATACAGACACAAACCTATACCTTTCTTTTTTCGGTGATTAAAGATTGTAAATTCTGAATATTAGTAAGAACAATTTTTTTTACCAAGTTCACACAAGCTTAAAACGTATCACAATAAATGGTTCTGACACCGATCTCAGTTAGGTATTGTCTAATCCGCTTATGGACTCATGCACTTTAGGACGGACATAGTCAGATGCATTTAGGCATCGTCACGAATCTAGGTATATAGGCTGTTAATGGGTATGATACACCCACCTGCGCTAACGGTATATACTATCGGGTCACTAAAGAAAGATGATTGGTATGGAAGGATGAAGTTAGGCCTGCAGCTCACCGTGCCAAATTCATTAGAAATTAACCAAGATTATTTCCAGGATACGTGGCATGGCACATTAGGAATGGGGTCACAAAACCCAATTATTAACAATCCCCACGCAGCGGGTAATTATTGAAAACATTTCCTAACTAATACATTCCAATATTGTTTGATGTCTTAGTTATTATCTGAGATTAGGTAACCGGCAAGAAAAATTACCACAATATCTAATTGACGGGGGGAAGTAAATTGTCAGTTATGTGGATTAATAACCCCATTGTAATGTATTAACTCGGATAGACCTCCATTGTAATAAATTCATGGTGAATTTGTCACGATGGTCTCACTGACCTGACTTCATACTCATCTTATCATCCTCCACTGCTGCCCCGCCAGCGTATACCGTTAGAGAAGGCGAGGGCACCATTTCATTGTCATTCCTTAAAAAAATATCAAATTGTCTGTGCATACACGTTCCGGGTTCCATTCTTGATGAAACCAATTAAACATTGCGTATATAAAAATACATTTCTCATGTCATTTTATACCGGATGTCTTTATGATGCGAAAAAAATTGGCATAATACCTCATGTACCTAACATGAGGGTGTTTCGACTAATAAGGATTGTGCCTATACTTGTAATATTTCTGTCAATACCCAGCAAGTTTTCATTTGTTTACGTCTCCACATAGTAGTTTAACTCCAGTGTAAAGGGATATGCATTGTGAGTGTTCGCGTTTTTAATAAGTCACATGGCTTATTGGCACAGGATCAAATAAACTTGTTAAATTAGTACAAATATTCCACCTGTATACTCACTACAGTATACTATAGGCAACGATAAATTAAATAGCGTTACCTAATCACATCATATATAACGCTACATTGGTGGGAGGATAACACATACGCTACAGTATTAAAAAAATAGATAATGGGCTGTTGGCAAGAATTGAAAAAGAGTATTATTGAGTTCAGTAGTCTTGACAGTGAACTGCCGAAATAAAACAATTCATTACATTTATTATTATATTATTCAAGTAAATGATGTAAGAAAATCAATAATACAGATTATATTAATACAACAACAATTTTTTGTAGTATGTACTGAATTAAAACAACTTGTAATCTTGTGCTCAAGATAAAACATACTTTTTGTTATAAAATTAGAAGTTATAAGAAAAATAGCTTACAGTTTTCTATTAAACTTAATAGAATAAAAAAAACAATTCTAATTTTAAATATGGAACGAGGTCCATTTTTAATTACACTATTTTAATATTAGAAGGCCGTAATAGTCATACATATACCTCTATGTTGTATATTCTTGGCATTAAGAATTTAATTCTTGAATTAAGGGAATTAAACAATATTTATTATATAGAAACATTATTAGTCATTAAATACTGGGAAACAAAACACTACATAAAATAAATAAAAAAATAGTCGTAATTACAACAACATTAAAAAATACTTAATGCAATATAAAACATAGAAAGAAAATTGAGAATCATAATATTCATATTTCACACGCAACGTACATAATAGCTTGATTAAATCTGTCAAATTTTCGCCGAGAAGAAATTTTAGGCGTAAGTATTGGTTCCTCGTTAAAGAACAGAGGAGCAGCGCTATAATAGCCACGTAACCGTTTATGTGCGTGACTATAAAGATGCAGATAATTATGATTTTACTTTTATCTGCTTGTTGAGAACACATTTCCTTGGATTTATCCCATATATTTGAATGAACATTGACTATTTTATAGTACATTTCACCAATTTTGAATGCACAGCAGAGACACTTTGAGTAGGAAAATGAACTCAACATAACAATAGCAGTAATTCAATTTCGCATGTTATCATATTAAGACTAATGTTAACATTCTACCATAAGAATTATTATTGAAAATAAAAATGTACGACATAATAAATGATATAATAGGTTTAATTTAAAATTATTAAAAATATGTATATATATATAATATTATATTATTACATTGTTATCACTCCATAAAAATATACTACTGTCATCAAGTTTGGTGGGTATGTGACAGGTATACAATAAAACAATAATATTGAACATATGAGATTTTAACATAATTTTACACTTAATTACATCACTTGTTTATAATTAAAAATATTGCGAATGTAAATGCTATTTGGAAAATATGAGTATTAAAAAAGTAATAATTAAAGGATCTAAAGAGATCGATTTGAATGAATATTTAAAGAGAAGAAATAATAATTTGGACAAATGAAGTTGTATGTTGCAGTAATATATACATATACTATATATATATATAGGACACCAGCGTCGTGGCACTTCGTCACAGCATATTCTAGACTATGGAGACTTATTTGGTACAATTAATATTTTATGTCTGTATCAAATAAACATATTTTGTTTCATTCTTTATTCTTTAATATTGGAGTCTGACATAGTCACAAATACACAAACATCAGATAGAGTTTGGGCATGTGTTCAATGTTTAAACATTTGCAATTGCCGACCCGTATCGGTTATTGAACTGGTTATGCATAGTGTGCTCCATTTGCATGTATTCAGCAAGTTCAAGTACTAAGAGAGCACATGTTTGCAAAGCACTATTACACATTAGTAATGAAAGATCTTCCAGCATGAGCTGACCTTTGAAGCCATGCCTGGCGACTGTATAAAATTTTTAACATTTCACATAAATCTTTGAGATTCACTTGAAATAAACAACAATTCAATATTTTAAACCGGTTATAACCGGTTATGTATAAATCGGTAATCTCTTTATATGCGAGACGGAAAACATCTTTAAGTAAATAAAAAGAAATATTAACAATGAACATCATCACATTGTGCACTCGCTTAAGATTAATTGAAAATTTGTAATAACTGTTCTTAAGATAACATCTTAATAACGTAATAATATATACTCTAAATAAACTCGGAAATATCTATAACATATCTATTATATACAGAATATAATAATATATACATAGATATATAAATATATATATATATGTTTACAGAGCCACAGGTTATTACTTTTTCATAAAAAAAAAATACAGAACAATAAATAAGCATAAGTTTAAAATTAGAACAGATCTGCCAGTTACAATAAAAAATAAAAATACATTTATATTGTGATTTGCAACGACGAGTTTGTAATTTCACCAGTCAATTTAAAATTCTATTTTTTTTCTATATATAAAATACAGGGCTGCTTTATTAAAAGTGTTAGCATGAATATCATTATAGTTTTCAATACATAGTAGTAATAATAGGAAAAGAAATTATATTATTCGTACAGAAATAAATAACTATTATAATGTATGTACTTTTATAAAAAAAAATACAATAATTTAAGAGTATTATTGGACGATTTGTGAAAGATGATATTTGATTAAATAAAATAGGCATGTACTTTGGCATCTGTAAAAAATTAAAGGAACTGTTTTTACCCATCTATTGGTGTAATGAGAGTAATATTCTGACATAATATTTAAACTATCAATAATCTATGATCTTAAACTAAACAGGTGTCATGATGGTGTAAAGTCATACTCTGATTAATTGCGATTAATTCAATAAAAATATAAGTAGTAAGTGTATCACTATTTAATAATATATGAAAACATTTTTTATTAACCCGATTAAATTTAATAATATTCGTAATTATGTAGATATTAATAGATTTGTTTAAATATCCAATCTAGGCACATTACAGTTAAGGGCACGAGATAGCAGTCAGGCAGATTTTTTTTTATTTATATTAAATAATTATAATTGGCGGTACTTATAAATATTTGGGGTCTACACAGTCTCTTACCAAATTACACTAAATTATAGTATCATTAATAATCTGCTTTAAATGAACTAGTGACAAAAAGAATAGTTCTATAGAAAAAAAAATATATTTGTGATGCTTAAAATTGAAGCCTTATATTATCGATACAAAGTGGTATGAGTTTACAATTGCCACTTCTCAAATTAGGTAAGACCTTTGAAATAATGTATATTCGTATAATTTTTAATATCAGATCATTGGGACGGCTTTGTTGTAAATAGCATAAAATTTGCAAAATATATTAAATTTCAACTTTTTATATATAAAAGTAGACGCCTGAATTGAAGAAACCATCCATACTAAGTATGCTAGACGCGAAATGTGATATTTGAATTATTTCTAGAACCAACAGTTTTTAAATTAAATTTAGAACTGTGTGTGATTATTAAAAAAAAACAAATTTGCACATCTAGGCCATGTTTATATTTAAACAGAATCAATTTAGTATGTTCTATCTATTGACTCAGAAATAACCTAAACTCAGAAATAGAATATTGAAATTCTGGAATACTATAAAATGTCAACTAGATATTGAGTCTATATCTCTTTTGATGCTACAAACAACTGTAGCGTATACTTTGGTATGGACGGCTACTTAAATTCTTGTAAAGAATATAGTTATAAAGATATTCTAGACATAATTGTGTATAAACTATATAGCCATAAAAAATTAGCCATTAAATTGTAAAAACACTGACATAAGACATACATTTTTTATGTAAAACTACAATGCACGAAATTAGTAGAGACCCAGTAATCCAAGTAAACATTTTTTGTAATGGCCCGAGCAGTCGCCCTGAAAAAAAATATACATAAGATATATAAAAATCATTCATTACTGTAGCATAATTTTAATGTATTACATATGGAAAATTCACATAGCGCCATCTAGTCCCAAGCTAAGCAGAGCGTGTGTTATGAGTACTAGATAACTGATGTAAATACTCAACATTTTTATAAATGTACACATAATATACATAGAAAACATTCAGACCAATTCAAACAATTACATTCATGAATACAAAAGGTTGTACCGTGCGAGTAATAGAACCCGCAACCATGGGAAGTAAAGCGGTGTGCTTAACCAGCAAGGCCGTCAAATTTTAAAACGTGAATGACACGTATAATAGTTCACGAGTGCCAAGACAAACGTCATCTTGTGACAACGAGACACAAAAATGCAATAGTAATAATAAAAATGTATAAATAACAATAATCTGACCTCTATCCAACTGGCGAGGGTTTCCCCGTATTTGTTCTGGAACATGTCCGAGATATCGCCGAGGTCGACCTCGCAACGAGTGACCATGATACGGATGAGCTGCCGGTCGTTGGTCCCGAGACCCTTCATCGACTTATGAAGACGTTCCCCGAAGAATAGCGGCTTATTGCGTACCACTTTCACTGTAAAGATTTATATATTGTAGAGATATTTAATACTAATTAGCGACTTCGTCCTCTGATTTTAGACTAGTTGACTCTCGTAATTTGCTCTGTCTCGAATTTGCAACATTTTACATTGCAGCTCCGTTCCTATAGATCGTAGGATGATATTATATAGCCTATAGCCGTCTATAGTACAAACTTTAACTCTTTATTTTTACTAATACTTAGTATAGATAATATATATTCTAGGTCTCTCCTCGTTATACAATTTATCTTCACGTTAAATTTCAACAAGATATGTTCCGTCATTTACTTGTAAATAGGTCACATACAAACTTCTATTATTAGTAGGTTAGAACTTTTATGGATATGGTGACGGAATAAAAATATAATCGCCACTCCATTTCTCCCCAGGGTGTCGTTTTTTTATTTCTGTCTGACTAGGGTAAATTCATAAATACATTGTCACATGAAGAAGAAAACTAGAAATAAAACCATTTAAAAATATATTAGTTTTTTTATACCGTTTCTTTAAATTAAGAATAATTAAAAAAAAATGCATGAATAAAAAGGAAAAACAGTTCAATAGCGAACATAGGTTTGTCATTTTTATATACAACAACCCATTACATACTACTACATAATATGAACTCTATATAACGAGATAAGACTTCGTAGGAAGTTGTCTGCGTGGGCGCCTCTATCTTATCTATATCAGCCGTCAAGCAGCATGCTTTGTAAGATGTGTTTAGATTATAGCGTGAGATAAGGGAGTGAAATTACAGAATAAGGAAACATGACACCTTAGTTCTCCGGAATAGCAACGCATGAGTAACGCCACGGGATTCCATAATTATGTGATATCCGTGATGTTGCACATGCATGTATATACGTGACCGTTACATTTACATTAGACCGTTATTTATACCATCAGACAGGCTTGTTTACCTTTCCAATTATATAAAAAAAATATGAGAATTTTAATTAGTATAAGAACAAGTTTGCATGATAATAGTAAGCACCCTGCAGTTGGGCATTACTGATTATTATAGATATTTTATCTTGATCTTCTATTCTTTTGGTATACACATAATATAACTCAGCAATTAAAGTTTTTTTTTCGGACTACTCTAATGCTGTTGGCTGTTGCTAGCATTTCATCGGAAGAAGTGCTAGTGCAGACAGAGCGGCTGAAGGCCAACTCCCCTGACTTTAGTCTGAGGTCACCGTTAGGGGTTCGAACCTCCGCTCAGGCCATCGTAATTTCGATCCCCGTTTGAATTGGACGGGGGATCGATTGGAAGGGAAGGCGAGAGCATTAAAGCTGTATTGTAGCGTATTTCGTGATCAACAATAAATAAATATAACAACATAGAAAGTTGAGCCAATCATGCTTGAAACAAGGCCAAATCGACATTTAACTGCTGAAAATCAAATGATTTTGATGACTAGCGCTCTTTCGATCTCTAATAATGTCCGTACGTCATTGTAATTCATGACGCATGATTGACTCAATACGTGTTTTACGCATACCCGCGTAGCGTTTCATGTTTGGCATTACGCAGCGATGTGACGTAATAATGTGACTCATTTATTGTGCAACATAAATAAGCGAGTACAGGTCAGAGCGAGGAACTGTAACATAAGGGAAAATGTGACTGATATCAAATATAACTTTTTCCTTAGTTATACACGCTTCAATTAGACAAAGTATTTTACATGATTTATATACATAATTGTATTGTCATAGTTTTTATTTAAATTCGTCCAGCCGTGATTAATTAACAAATAAACAAAACATAATTAAAAACTTTTACAATTACAACAGCATACTCGGATATTTAACTTTAAGACCTTATTATTATTGTAATAGAGGTGATTTATGACAAACTTCATGTCACGGACGTTTACAATTTTAAGTACAGTATGAAATTTGTGTTTACTGCCTTGATTAACTTTGAAAGGTCATGAACTCATGAATTCGAGTCTTGCCGACACAAAAAACTTCTGGTCCAATATATACTTCTAAACGTCTCTTCAGTTATAGAAACACCGATAAAAATCCATACTAATCCGAGAGACAGCGGATTCTAATATACCCCCGGTGCATGTCAAATATTGCATTTGCCGCGTCAACATTTCAATGCCTCTGGCTATTCAAACTGAGATAACAATAGTGAAGGAAGGTACATATATATATTATTATATCATCCGTCACTGCCTGTACACGTACACTTAGCTTACAATATCAGCAAGATTATCTAATATATGTAAAAGTAAATAAATTATTGTTTTATTGATTATTAACAATGTTATTACTCAAGATAATCTGATATGTTGTGAATTACTTATTTGGATAAGGAGTTATATTTCGAACGATATTATTGGAAAAAATGATTATTGTACAAGATAAGATATCCACACTGTTTACAAACTATATGCTAATAAAGTGTAAAAAGTACTATGAAAGAATTGACTTCTCATCTTAAGTTCTCTAAAACCTAAAATAACAAAACTTTGCACAAATTTCAGTACCACTGAGTTAAAATATTTAATAACTAAATCTTATTGTTAATTAGTTATTTACGGGCCAACTAGTTATTCTGTTAATTTTCTTCCTTGATAAAAAGAAGTGAAGATTATTAATATTAAAAACAAACGCAAAGCAATATTTAAAATTAGAACACGTTCCGAGACCACGATGTAAGGTCACGAGGCCGTAATGTTATTAAGTAACTTACCAATAACTCTCAGCGCCTTTTCAAGGTCCCAAGAGAACTCTGCCTTGATGACGTCATCGATGTCATATCCATAACTTTTGCGACATTTCTTATTAAAAACTTATTTCTTTGATAAACGAAGCAAACATTTCTTAAAAATATGAACAGCATATGTAAACAGTACTTAAAATAAGAACTCGTTCCGAAATTATGACTATGTAAAGTCATGGGGCCGTAATATTATTAAGTAACTTACCAATAGCTCTCAGTGCCTTTTCAAGGTCACCGGAGAACTCTGCCTTGATGGCGTCATCGATGTCGTGTCCGGTTAAGAAGTGGTACTCTTGGAAGATGGCCGCCAACTGTGGAAACGAGCGGGAACACAGCACCGCGTTGAAAACGGACTCGTCGGTCCCCAAACGAAGCTCACCTGGAAATATGATTTGTTCATTTTCAACTGCAATCAAGTTTTTGGACTAAAACTGAGCCTGCCAAAATTTCTAAAAGCAGCCTAAGTGACTCCTCGTAACATTAGCTATCTGCAAGTGAAAGTCGCGTTAAAATCGGTTCAGCCCTTTCAGACAAACACTTTTTTAAATATATTATTTAGTGAAAATCTATTTATTTTAAATTACAAACCCATTTCAATTTTATTTATTTGTATAGATTTTATACAAATCCTGTACCACGGGGTCACTTTATCAATATATCATAGTAACAATGGTACAATGAAAAATTATTTTCATTTCATCTGTTAAAAAAAGTAAGCGTCATCAGCGAACACATAAAAACTACTTATCACTCACCAGCTTGGAGCAAGCTCCTTGCGTCTTCCCTTGCCTTTTCTTGATCCACATGGAACTCTTCAGATCTATTTCCCTGAAATTTTAATACGAAAATATAAACATAAATAAGTTAAGTCTATACATTGGCATAGTGATCGTAATTTCGTATCGTATTTAACTATATTTCAACCAGCAAATGTCACAACAGAAATAGTGATGTCAGCGGGAACGATTCTAAACTACAATGCATTCTCTAAAAGTAACTTTAATTTTACAATAATTAACGAAACTCTTTAATACGAAATAAATTATAATAATGTTTTTGTAGTAAAAATCTAAACTTAAAATTCATAGCGCTAACAATATTATCTGACAGCACAAAGGTTGATTGCGTTGCGGTTTCTATGGTGATTGTCGCATGCCTAATCCTTGTTAATATGTATTTTTATTTATTATATGTGTATTGTTCACTCTTCTTGTTCATTCTTCTTGGGTTCCGAATGAAGAGATAGAATAAAAAAAATATGACCATTCTAAAGAGTTTATATTAAGTTTATTTGAATAAAGATTATTTCTATTTCTAGTAAGCGAATATATAAAAAAAATATAGTATAAATCACGGGAATTTACCGTTTTATTTATACGTTACGTTTTATTTTTATTGAGTAGCTATGATATATCTTTAATTTGTTTCAAGATTGAAATTTAACTTATAAAGAATATTTAGATGACGCTTCTATGTAAATCCATGTCACTATATTATCATCAAACAGTGTACACGGTCGAGCAATCATTAACTCACCATACACAAAGATGTCATTAGCCTCTTGAAATTTCCTGATGTGTCACCACGCAAGTCATCTTCCAAGAAATTCCCGTACACTTGAAAATAAAACATTACGATAAAACAACATATATTTGAGTGGTTTACTATTAGGTTATTTTTAATACACGAAGTCATCTTGAAGATGATTCCACAATGTGGTTTGGCACCACACTGTGGAATCACCTTCCAGCAATGGTATTTCTGAATCGATATCATATTTAAAACTTCAAGGAAAGAGCTTATTCCTTCTTAAAATGCCGGCAACGTACTTGCATTTCCCCTGGTGTTGCGGGTGCTCATGGGCAAAGGTAATCACTTACCATCAGATGAGCCGCAAGCTCGTTTGTACTTTGTGCTATAAAAAAAGACACTGCCTACTTGAAAATAGTTTAGGAGCTTAAATAATTAATACTACTATTATTTTTCAGAAGTTTATTTATTTAATTTATAAGCTACCCGTTACCCGATACATTATTTGCGTTTTTTAAATTAAAATAAATAAAACTAACCTAAGTTACTCCTTATAACATAAGCTATCGAATGAAATTAATATCAAAATTAGCGCAGCCCATTTAGATATTATCAAAAACAAGCAGGTAGACAGGCAGACATACAAATAAATATTTTTTTGACGTAATAACCAGAAAAGAAAAGTTGTAAAATTAAAATCACAAAGTTTTCATTTTAATTTTGTACATATACCTATATGTATACATTATGTATGTAATTAGTTAACTTAGTAGTAAACAAGTAAAATGTGAATAAATTTGTTGTTAAATTTATTCACATTTGTAATGTAAATTGTTCAATAGTGCCGGCGCAATAATCTTTAGTAGAAATTAAATTAGAAATAAAAAGATATTTCCTTCGGTGGTTCATTCAGATATTGAGGTAGTGCTGTCGGAGTTTCATGCCTACTGATGGTTATTATATGTAAAGTAAACTAGCTTCGGCCCGTTATCACGTCCCCATGACATAGTAAAATATAACTTCTATTCTTCATAGCCCAAAATATGAAATCGGACGATTTCATATTTTGTCACGATAGATCGTGTATACCACATTCATTTAGCCTTTACGGCGCCAAGTAACTAATAACAATCCCACTTTCACATTCTTACTATTAGGATGAACAAAAATATTCTACTTATTATTCTCACGTACGATTGTACACTCAGTAGTTCTGCTAATAGAACTCTAATTTGCACTCGCATAAATCACGAAAAGCGAAAAATTAGCATTGCCACATTAACACTATTGAGTAACCACTGCATGAATGAAAGAAAAATCTTTATTGTTTCCCTTAAGATCCTTAAGGCCCTCACTAGACACTGGAACTTGAATAAACAAATGGCAAACCTAGGCACAACAAAAATCTGCAGATTTTGCCAAGCTGAATAGGGTACCCTCACTACACCATCCTATGTTGTTGAATTCCACTTATGCGTAAACGAAATATCTCCTTTGAAATGTTTATACTCTAAACTGAGGAGATAAAAACCATCGCTCCTAAAAAATATCCTTCACATAAATGCAATAACAATTGATCTATGTAGATCGCAGTGCTACAGGTCTAAGTATATGACAATAGCCTAAACCTCCCAATAAAAATATAAAAAAAAAACCCTCAAGATAGATTATATTAAAAAAATAAAACATAGTAAGGACAATAAAACAAGGTAAGGAGTGGGAACAAATTTAGATATTTAGTCACATTACTATAAAATGAAATATTAGAAAGAAAAAACTATCAATAAACAATTATTATTAAATTATATTGTTCTAATAATTAATAACAGTTTCGTGACGGTTAAGAAATAAACCTCGGACAGTTTTATTTGTACACCTCAAGATGATACAAAGTGGATAAAGTTAGGTTGGTTAGGCCGTCGTGGAAAATATACGTGGATCGCGTAGAGATCAGCCTAACTTAGTACATTACTACACTAGGCCTTTAGTAACTAGCTTCCATTACTAACAATCCCCTACACCATTATATCATAGTTAAAAGCAATTTTTGCAACAAAATCTTAAATTATCATTGCTTTAATCGAGTAAAGAATGAGAATAGAACGTATAAATTTAGCCTCTAGTCTCGGAAACAATTCATTAGAAACAAGATCACGCAACCAAGGACGTATTGTTCTGAGAATGCGTCGTTTCAGTCATCTACCTGCTCTTCATATCATTTAAAATCTGATACTGTAAACGACTAGATCCGGAATTTGTTACTTAGTTATGTATATCATATTCGAGGTTGTCGTAGGACCAATTCATATAAACGACAAATTAAAAAGAAAAAAATTGTTAATTAATTCTATACTTTAAATAAACTTTTTACGGAAAGTGGTGTACACAGAAACAATCCTATCCTATATTTCCTCCTATTTTTTATTAGTCCTTTATTTCAAACCAGGGGAACCGGCTACTTCGTACCCGTGTACATTTATAGATCTATTGATGGTACACACGACAAAAATACATAAAGTATGTATCTATACGGCGCCATTCATTATTTGATTAATTAATTGTAGGTGGCATACAGAAAAAATCCACCAAAATTATTGTCATATTTGTGGAGAAATTTCAAAAATTTTCACAAGCCTATATGTTGAAGTACTTATATTTGATAAAGACACTTACTAATTTATTAAAGTACCAAATTAATAAAGTGAAGACTACCGAAAATATTTTCTTATATTTTTAACGTCGTATGAGAGCAAAGAGTGAGCGCTGTGTAAATTTAGGTTTTTCACCTCAACAATAATGAGTCAGTTAGAACTGACAACATTTATAGAACTATTTTATATCTAATATATGAAATACAACAGTAGAATTGGGTATGTTACATAAATGATAGCTATAGCGATAATAGTCATTTACAATATTTAATCAAATAACTTTATACTAACGGGCTATACTATTATAATTGACAAAATTGTATTATTTGTATTATATTTGTATTTATATCAATATTTATTGATCTTTTGAAGTTGAGGAAAACACTCAGAATATTCAGTAAGTATTCTTGGTACTGTTTTATATATAACATTCCTAAATAATGTTAAGTGGCTATAATGGACGTTATCAATATGTTAGGTACCACTTATTAACACGAAACCGCGTCGACAATATTGACAATATGTACTAAAAGCAAATATTTGATGTACAACGCTATTATCAAGTGTAACCAGGAGTATCTTATGTAGATAAGTGTGTAGGTATTAGAAACATAAAGAAAGTAACAAAAAATATTCGGTCACAATTTTAAAGTACTTGAACGAAATTTTGGTACACAGATGATCTATATTTTAGATTAACACATATAATACTTATAATCTTAGACCCAATGTACAGTAATGTACTGAATCTGGGCGAAATCACAGCAGGCCTCTGCTTGACATATTTTTCTACTTAATATAAAGAAATGTATCTTACATTTTAGAATGTTATACCCGAGTACTGTTTAAATAATGTAAGTATTAAATAGTTTTAAGTTAAAAGTTGTATATCTTTGATTTTGCAAATTATAAAACTAATATAAGTTGGCGTTCATTTAAGAACAAAATGTCTGAAAATATTACACTAATAATACGTTATTGATTGGCTTAAAGTTTAAATATTTAAGGAAAGTGTTTATAATTGCATTAACTACTGTAATTTAGTTCATTGTATATCATGTTACAATCTTAAACAAATATAAACTAAAAACGTGGGAAATAATATAATGTACTTACTAGCTGTGTAAGCCTGCTTGATGACCTGGATCTCGTGGTTGGACATTGTGCACATAACTTCAATTAGTACATCTTCGTCGGTGCCAATGCCCGAGGTGGCGTCATGGAGTTCCTTAGCGTAGAATTGGGGCAGTGGAGTCATCAGTGCCACAATGAGATCCTCAAACTTGCCACTCGTCTCACTCTTCAAATCGGAGATGAGATCCTGACAAGGAAAATGAGTATTAAATTTCAATTACTTAAGATCTTAGTTTCTTTAGGATATGCCTCAATGAAGTAAAGTTTCTTGCCAGTTTCTTTCCCACTGACTGCTTGCTGAATTGTCACTCATACAATATCTTACGACGATTAATTAGACACGTATTAATACGACGATATCTTAGAAATTTAAACTTTTTTCTTTAATTTTTATTATCAATTTCTATTTTTTATACCTTGTTATTAGTAGTAATACCAATAGTAGACATTTATGTGTGCTAGTAGCTATTTATTGCTAACATATGTAATACTATGTATAATTTCATATGACTTATTTTTCAATACAAGTTTAATTTGTCAATAGTAGTCATATATTTTTAACATTGCCTATTGGTTTTTGTGAAATATGTGTCAATTCCATTATTGTTATTAATTCAAAATAATGGCATGACCCGGATCGAGTATGTGGTAATATGCGCCTACATACACACCCACGTACGTTGATAACAGTGAGTAAATTGTTACGGTAATAAACCCATATGTGGTAGCAAAGTTGTTCACGCTTTTCAACCTTATGGCCATGCCTTAGGTCGGCGCCAGACATCGCAACGAATACTCAAACGACAAAATCACAATGTATAGCACATAATTAGCTTAGAGCTTGTGTGAGCAAAGTTTGAACCAACATTTGCAATGCAAACATTGCTATGGGTACATTAAAACAGCCCAATGTCAAATAAGTGCATAAGATATGGTGCATATTTTAGTAGTAGTAAACTTTCTGCATGTACAGTACATGCAGAAAGTTAACTACTACTAAAAATAAAGCGCACAATTGTTTGAATGAGTGCGAGCAATCTGTCAAAAGGTCTAATGTGTTAAAGCCATGTTTGGCGCCAGGCGACAAATGTCTCAAGCACACTTTAATTTATATAATCAACCTGCAAAAACAAATAGTTGCACATTTGCCAAAGGTCCTATCAGCCGAAAAACAGTGCTCTTTTGGACAGTTGGTTTATGACATATTTTCGTACGTGATATTTAATACTAACGGACCGAATCGCTGTATGCGTCCACACGTATAAGTGGCGTCAAGTCAGCTGTAATTACATTACCTAGTAGTCCCATACGGCGATACGCCATGCATAACGACAGTTAGTCTGACTAGAAATTACAAATCACAATAACCGGAGGAAATAAACACGGTAAACTGAATCAAGGACAAATTTAAAACATAATAGGTTTACAAACGGCCACTTTTCCTTCTTCACATTAAGGATAATGGAAGATTTTATATATCTTACTAATATTATAAACGTGGAAATTTGCGAGTATGGATGGATGTTTGTTACTGTTTCACGTAAAAACTACGGAATAGACTTTGATGAAACTTTACAGTAATATAGCTTATACACCAGAATCACACATAGGCCATAAATTTAATGAGGGTGAAAGCACGGGCACAACTAGTATATATAAAAAAAAAATATTCAGCCGCGCTATCCATGAATTGCAGTCTATGTTACTCAATTATAATGCAACATATAGTTGCAAAAAAAATCTATCAAGTTTTAAAGAAACGCCTAAAATCTGTGTACATTAGTTTAAGAAACCTGGCTCAGGAAATAATTCTAAGTAGATTCGAAGTACTTGCGTCATAAAATACATTATTAAAATGTAAGAAATTGGAGTAAAAAGGCCATACATGGCTTTGTTGCAGACAATTATGAAATAAAAACATTATACGGAATGTGTGTCACATATTCCCTAGAAAAAATTTAATGCACCGTGAAGTATGCAAAATGTATAGTACTACAACTAACAAACCTTTTTAACATAAATATAATGTTAGAAGAGCGGTGGTCAAAGGCGAATACTCCAAAAATTTTACGATTTTTAACCACATATCTGATGTTGTCTTAGAAAAATTATGATCTTGACATGAGGATGTTTGAATGGGTATTATTTGAATTTGAATTTTGAATGGCTTTATTGCAGTCAAAGACACCATCTAAGTAGAATTGAGAAACTTTTAGAATAATTATTTTATTCTCTTTATTAATGAGAACGGTATAATAAATATGCTGCTCCTATATAGGACGGAAGATAAGGAATTATTTGTAATGAGGACCAGTGCCCCAATTGCTAATAATGTACCATGTCAGCTCAACCTCTACGCAGTCCTGATTGACCCATTCCTATTATCCTCTACTGGTGCCAGTGTATACTGTCACCGGGCAGGCAGGTGAACAATTTCATATTAATGCATAAAAAAACCAGTTACGTACTTTGTCACATTTTTTAGATATCGCAGTTTTTTAATTGTGTGAAAAAAATTATTTAAGAGTATTTGAATAATTTAAGCATTTAATAAAAATATTCTCTAATATTTTAAAAAGTGCTGTGGTTTCAGAAGTTATTCTCTAGATACAAAATTGCCAAAAACTACTGTTTTGTTATATTGTATTGTTTTATCTGTTTGGTGTTCTCGAAATGTATCATGGTCTATGTTAACATCATTTTCCGCTGTTTTACAATTAATATACCGGTAATCAGATATGTTCATACTGTTATCTGATAGTGATGGCTCTTTTGTCGTGGCTCGACATGATTTCATATTTATTGTATATAATGTCTCGTCGACTTTTTTTAGTTAGTCTCTGTTTAATCAGGATTATTTTATTTACGATTATGGAATGTCCTATGAAAATCTATCATCAGCACTAAAACTTTAGTACATAATTTAAAATTTAAGGTTTAGTTCATATTAGTTATCTTATTAAAAATATTTCTTCCAACTATTTCTAAACGAGGTAATTCAATTATATCAATGAACATCAGTCACGTATAGGGGATTAAATAATGATTGGTTTAATATCTAATACTCGTAGTCATGACTTACCTTCCCATACAGTGTCTTGAATTCGAAAGCGATGCGCAAACGCTGCTCATTGCTGCGTCTCGTCAGAACTTGTATAATTGCTTTCTCGTCTGTGCCGAAGCCTTTCATAGCCTTCCGCAATACCGCAGCATCCTCACGAGGATCGAAAGGATTGACTGGCACCACGGTGGGTTTGGACTGCAAAAATATTAAAATTTTAATATTGGGCACCCACACAATAACTCATAATGCGGATATGTTTATGAATAGTAACAAGTTTCTTGTAAGTTTCATATGTCTTTTACCTAATCTACGCTGGTAAATTAAAAACATTGTTTTTATTATAAACATATCACTGTTGAACATGGATCAGCACAAAGCATTATTTTAATGCATAAATTAATTTGTTTTCAGCGTATAATTGAAACAATCAAAATGAATAAAAAGAACAATAAAATTTTGACGCCTGGTGGCCTGTAGTCTTAACATTGTGGGCCCCAAGCAGAAGGGTAGTTTAAACGATATGATTTTCATCAGATTTAAGTAAAATAAATATATACCTAAAAATATACCCTTTTGTCAACATTATTATGAGTCCAACCCTTGGCATGCTTAATACATTTCTCTGAGTATAACTGATTCTAAATTGGCAGATCTTTTATTCTTTGTTGATTATCATGGGTATTTCCATTATCTGAATCAATCAAAATATGAACTGATATATAAAAATTTTGGTTGTCGGTGAGATTCAAACTTCTATAAATCGGGATAGTGAACCACTAGACTACATCTCTAAAAGAACGCTCGTAAAATTCTATGATAGTCCTATTGTGTATTGTATTCGAAATGTATTAGAAAGACGCCGACGTTTCTAGGAATATAGTGAATAAAAAGCTACAACATACTATCAGATATATAAACTATAATTTAATAGCAATTATAAAAACGTGACTTTGAAATGAGATGGTAATTTAAATACTACACATAATATAATAGACAATAGTAGTATGCAGATTAACTACAGTCAGTACTTTTGCAGTAAATATTTTGCATATTACATATATGAAAACCGGAAACATGTATGTTATCTACATGGCGATTAATTCTGTCGCACCATTGTTTTTATCCATGTCCTGGAATGCAATCTAGTAAAACGACAGTGTTATTCATAGTTTTGCTTACGAATTGACATATATTTCATAAAGAACATTCACAAATAAAATGAATATATTTACATCCTATTTTAATAATAGGGTGTACTTAGATTGATCAAATTTTATTAGGTAAGGTCGTGCGAGATTTTCGAACGTATAAAATTAATATTTAAAAGAAACAACTAGCCTTTCGCCGACAAGCAGATAAAAAGTAGCTAGGTATAGCTTTAACTGTACAGAACGAAAAGCAACAATGAAACATAAATACCGTATAACGAAACGATTTGAGCCCACGCCGTAGGCCAATTGTTGCTCTATATGCACTGCGCATACTTGAATTTGATGTTACAGAGGACATATTAATTTATAAATCCGAAGTCCCCACAGATTTAGACGATGATCATCAAACGGTACAGTACAGTCACATCACTTTTGTACACCATGAGTTCGAACTATCAAGGTATGTGAAGGTGAGAATGTAGGCTTTTAGATCTCTCCACATCCATTGTAGTGGAGACCAATGCCAAGACTGAATTGTTGCTTACTGCGACACACGAAGTGAGCATAACAATGTAATTGCAGCGAAACGTTCCTTGAATAGATTCACGTAAGTACTGGACCAGCCTTCTATATTATTTTAGTTGTTATCTGTACGTGGAATAAAATTGCCGTTTCTCTGTACATATAACGGTTTTAAAAAAATTTGGGAATGAGAGAAGGCAAGAAATTCAGCAGCGTGATATTCAAGATTCATCGTAACTGGTGATAACCTACACAATGATGTGCTTTTATTAAATGCTTGGACACAAAAATATAAGCACCCTGTAGCCTGTGCCGTATTTCTAAGATATGATATTTATGGATATGGAACAGCAGCATATTTTATAATTTGATAGATAAGGATGCATAGTGACAATCGCACATTAAATTTCAACAGACACATACACTAGTTGGACACTAATTAACTGATATACAATTTCTAACTATCCTGTATAAGCTATAACACTATACTATTGAATAGGAACCATTCCTATTCCAGTTATTGATTGATACAACTGATAATGTAGGATTAGGAATCTTTTTCTCAGTCTTACACTTGATTTCTAGATATAAATATTCCTTTCTAAAAATAAAATGTTTTAGAAAATATATTTTTTTATCTTAAATATGATAAATTCCTTAAAAACTACATTAAATATTTTAAAATATATGTCACTTTGCAAATAGGGTTCGAAGAAATTTAATATCAATCTAATATTAATTACAAAATTATATATTCATTTGAAATTTTATTCATGAAAGAGAAGAAAAAAGTACATAAAAATGCCACAAAAAATTAACTAACTAATGTATTATTCTTTAAACATCCACTGATACATCTTCGACCACATAATCACGAGTTGCATTATATTACAAGGACACACAAGTTTACGGATGATAATATCTAGTTATCTGATACTAGACCAAGAAATTTCTGTACAGACTAAACAGACAATTGTCTTTTACAATTATTTCAATATTATGCTTAAACAAAATCATTGGTACAACTCTAATAGTGAAATATTTGTTACAACAGCTCTGAATATCAGAATTGTTAATACTAAATGTCATATTATTGTTTCTTTAAGCCACTAACAAAATGTAGATATATTTATTATATACCAGGATAATAAATATATATACATACATTATAATTTTCTAAAAATTATTGTCCAAATAATTTACAAAATATTTCATTATTATAATAATACATTGGACTAACCCAAGTAACAGTTATGACAGTATGTAATAATACATAGTAAATATTTAGTATTTGCTATTATCAGATACTATCACAATTGTTACATTAAATGGGGCAGTCCAATTGTTGCTGTAAAGTGGATAAATTCTCATGTAAACTTTTTGTTATCATGTTTGTTTGGAAATATTTCAAGTAAGATAACATTCAAGTCAGTCAAGCTATAATAGTTACTTACTACTAATTAAAAAAATATAAATATTGTGAAATTAAAGCTATGCATAATGATTGAAAATATAACCCTTTGTGCAGCACTAAAGTGTATTAAAATGAAATAACCAAACCACATTTGTTTATAAAGTAAACAGGCAATACTTACATTAGGTTGTATAGTATGTTAAATATTTTTTGTTGTTACAATTTATGCAGATGTTTCGCTTATCACAAATAAGAATATTAAATACAATGAATATAGATAAATTAATGATAGTCAAATGAATAAATGTTAAATGGATCCTGAAGGAACAATGTTTGAACAGGTTCGAAATTGAATTAGCAAATATATATTATTCCCTCTTTCAATTCTGAAGTGTAATGGCAAAATTTATTGAAATAGCCAAGTTAAACATACCTTTGGTGTGTCAGGCACATGTCCCGAGGAGACACTGTATAACTGCTGACTTTGAACAGGTGTATGACCATGCGGTGGATATCCTTGATATTGGCTGGACTGATGGTGTGGTTGACTTGGTTGAGGATAACTACCAGGTTGGGCATAAGCAGATTGAGCAGGGTAACCAGATTGAGCTGGTTGAGGATACCCAGATTGAGCAGTTTGTGGGTACCCTGCAGACGGATAGCCTTGAGCAGTATTTGGTTGTGGATAACCCTGACTAGGCTGAGGGTATGGCTGACTTGATGGAAAACCAGAGGTGGATTGTGGGTAACCACCTGACTGTGGGTATCCAGGTTGCGTGTTAGGATATCCAGATTGTGGTGCCGGATAACCCATTGTAGGGAATCCCGACATAGGCATTGGGTTACCGAAAGATTGTGGGGCCGAGTTGCTAAATCCAATATTGTGTAGATATTGTTGACGTGGGTATGGCGATTGACCCTTGAAATGAAAGGAAAATGCACGTCAATGATCCATTATTGTATCGAATATTTTTTCCTTTGTGATAAACAAAACTTAGTAAGCAAATTAATAAAAATATAAAAGCAATTCTTGAACATCACTTACTTGTTGATAAGGATTCATTTTCTTCTAAAAACGTGAAATTCGGATGAAAACAGGTAATTTAGGTCGCTAACTGTGTAGATACCCACTGACACTTTTTATCGATTCTAGGAAAGTTCACTATACTGCACTTACAGGAAATACACTAAATGTAATTCAATGAATGGGAATTTTATTAAACGTGCCTTCTACTTATATGAAGCAAGACAACACAAGACAAATTCACAGAGTAATATCTCTCTAATCTGTGGAGAGCAGTGTCACTATATAATAACCACAAACTATAAAGATGCTAAAGCATGAAAAACTGCAAAACAGAAACAGTTAACAGTTAAAAACTAGCCACACTGGCCTATCTAGTCTAGCCAATGGTCATGAATAAAGCATTATTAAAAAAAAGTATCTAGCCACTTGGCAAATAACCACTACGGTTGCTATCATAAGACAATATTTATTTAATATCGATACATCGAACACACTCAAATATCTCGATTTTACATGAATATGTCGGAATGATTGTATGTATTAACAAATTATAATTTGTCAATCAGATATATTTCAAGGAACATAAAATGGCAAAAAAATATACTCTGATTAATAATTGAAATGTTATCATTTCAATTATTAATCAGAGTGAATATGAATGACAATAAATATTTTTAAAGAGCTAGCGAAACAATAGTGTGTGACTGAGCTGTCACAACTATGGAAATTATCTATTTTTGCTATCAGTTTTCGTGACCATAGCATAAATATTTAAATAAAGTTATTTTAGTTTCTTAGGACCACTGAAATGTAATTTATAGATTAAGTGAGCATATTTTTATATGGAAACGAAAAAAAAAAGTTTTTTAGTCTGTGTTCGATGTTTTCATTGGATATATCGAAAAAATCGATACTTTAATCCGATGTTTTAAATCGACTACAGTTGTCGATATTTATTCTAAGTTGTACCTTAATAGCACTTCGTCAGCTTCGACAGTTGAATAGTCAAACAATGTTGCCAGTTGGACATTTTACTTTCCCTTGAAAATGTTTTAAATGTAATTTAAGTTTCTTTTATATTCACTACTCGAAGTAAAAAAGTGCAATCTCATATTGTTTTATAAGTTATTCCCATCCTATAATTTTATTATGACTTTATTTATGTTAAATTTTCATTACGTATGAAACTCGTAATAAATTTAAGTATTACAAGAAATAGTAGCATTGACTGGAGTTAGCCCCCTTATACTGATTATATTTATATCAGAGATGAATAGCCGCATGTGGTTTGGGGGCACCCCATTACATATTCGCTTTTTTAATCTTTTCTTTTATTTTCTTAATTATGATTTCTCAATGGCCGTAAAATACTTAATAAAAAAAAATATTCGCTTTTTCAATCTTTCCTTTTATTTTTTTAATTATGTCTGGTTGGTAACTCAATGGTTGCTACAGATTATATTAGATAACTTTTGACTGAGAATTTTGTGTAATAACGAATAGAATCTACCTCAAAACTAAGAATATATTATATGATTTTCAAATTATACACAAAAACACTTATGACACTTTGTTCACAATAACATTTTGTTACGATATTGTTTAAAGCTCCATACAATCTTGACTCTTCATTATCATACGATTCAACTTAGATATGTACTGTACCTACACAAATAGTCATTCTCGATATTTTTATAAACTTAAATGGTTCAATGAAAATGGATGGACTGGCGTATAAATAAAACTCCATTATTTTTTATTGTAATATTTACACATATCTTTGGTAGGTAATAAAATGAAAATGTATTTTGTTACAAAGAGATCTAAATAGCTAAATAGCACCTTCAGACAATATTTCATAAGCTTTTGTTACATTCTCTGTTATATCCCTTACAGGTTTATCTTTCACTGCCAACCATGTACTACCACTTTTGCCTTTCTTGTATGCTTCAATTAACCCTACGGCCGCAGATTTTGGGCTGTAAAAATTAAAATTAAATAATAATAATATCTATTTGTAAATAGAGAAATAGAATCCACTAGTATATCCCAATAATTATAGTATGGACCATTTATTTGTTAGTTCCTACTATTAGTATGAAGGCAAAATTGCAAATAAGCAACGGTAACTATTTTCTGATAGGCTATAGTTTAAAAGTTATTGAAGAATTACGTAAAGAATAGAAATATGTTTTTACATGTATCTATATTACCTCACATTCCCAGTAAGTATGTATACAGATTACACATTGAGGACTTAGTTGATAATAGGTACTAGTAGTAAATTACAAAATAAACCTTATAGCTGCCAGACCAACCTAGAAGCGGCCTGTTTGTGTTTATTAACTTGTTATTGTGTGGTATAAACTTCTAATTCCTATTCCTAATTTGAAATATAGTAATGAAACTGACTGTTAAGTATTTTAATTCTACGGGCTAATGAATGGTTTTGTTTATTTTTACTTTCTGATTGTCCATTTACTATAGATAGATTTAAAAATTTTGATTAACGTTTTTTATTTCTAACCTTTGTATTTGAAATTCCTTTAATATATCCATTAAGTTGTCGTTTGTGAATTTATCGAAAGAGGCAAGACTTCCTGCCGATATTAATCCTGTATTCGTGCCACCGTAACACATTGTTATCACTCGAACTCCAGTTCGGTAGTAATAATGTTCCAGCTGGAATATAGATAAAATGGATAGTTTAAAAAACACTTGAATAAAATCTTGTTAAAATGAGCATGCATACGTGAATTAATTACTATGTAAGAGTATGACTGCTTAGGTCAGTACATTTTCTTTTTAAACTATTGTAATTCTGTTGATTGTACCTAACTGATTTTTACAGCTGCACATAGCTAAAAATCGGATCACTAATGAACAGTGCAGAAAAAAATCGAACTATCTATTGAAAAAAGAGTAATCGAATCGAAGGTATTTTGTTAAATATATCATACTAGCTACTCGCCCCGGATTCGCACGGGTGTGCTATATGTATGTGTATTATATATATAAAAACGTTCCTCTTGAATCACTCTATCTATTAAAAGTTTTAAAGATTTAAGCATACATAGGGACAGACAGCGATAGCGACTTTGTTTTATACTATGTAATGATACGCATACTGAAATAAATATGAAAGAAAGAAAGAAGAAGAAAAATATGTTTAGTTAGGTATTCGATATACACACACAAGCGGTACTTCCAAAGACGACTTTACATAGGATCTAGCTCGGTATGTTAATAACAATCAAAATTATAATTATGAAAAATGTTTTGATCATAAATTCCATATCTTGCCTATAAATTAGATAATTCGAATAAATTACTTTCTTCTTACTTACACCAATACAATTGCTGAAGTGCAATACTGCGCTCTTGGTACCAAAATAAATTGGCATCAATGGATGTTGAATCAGTGCACAAATGGACGATATATTTATAATTGTTCCACCTTGCCCACCTTCATCTTTGCGCATTACTTCTATTGCTTTAAGGGAACTAGTGCATAATGCTGTCTGAAATTGTAATTACAGGTAACATTCATATAGTTCACAGTCATATTAATTATCAGGGGTTTTATCATTGCTGTTATTATTAATATTAATATAATACATTACCTACTATCAGATTATAAACGATGGATTTGTTAAGCACAATCATATATCATAATCATAATCAAATTTTTACATTTATATATTTTTTTCAAATAAATTTAAAATTGCAGATGCACATTATAAAGTATTCTAAATTTGAAATACGGCGCCGCGTCAGAGTTAAGAAAAGTTGCAATATTTAAGGTCGGCATCATAGCTGTACGTACAGTTAGTATCTACTATAAGTTATTACTACTGTCAAGTAGTTAATACTACAATAATGTACAAATAATATATAAGTTATAATTTTGGGAGGTGTTTGTCTGCAAAGAAGTCAAGAATATATAAGAAATTCAATAGGTTTATTTTGAGTTCTCTTTCGTAGATTAAAAAGCTGTATTAAAAATAGGTAGTAGTTTTTAAAATATAAAATTTTAAAAACTACTACCTATTTTAATTGGACAAACTGTTAAAATAATCTATTAATATATGTAATATGTGTTTATTTATTTAGGTGTAAGTGTGATAGATACATTTGAATATAATATTAAAATTTATATCAACCAACCAAAGAGCCGTTGATATGATTACTAGATCAAAGTTTTCTACAGTTGTAATTTTATCCAAACGTTCTACTGATATGGGCTAAGTTACAAGACAGTTAAAGATATTACTGTAAAAATATTTGTTAAATAATTAATCTCGTAGGAGTTTAAGGTCCGTCTATAATTAGTTGATAATTATTCTCTACGCGATATGACCGATTGTTTATGACTATTTTTTAAAGAGACTTGTTGTATTGCTATTTTATCTACCCATACTATGTTATTTTGTATATGTCCAGGATTATTATACAATCACTTATGACGATAGTTGCTTCACAGAATACATATATATTATATATACTTATTTTTGCAGTTTATACTACGATTTATAAGAATTTAACAAAATTGAATCTATTTAATAAGCGGATAAGTTATTTAAAATTATATAATTTTAGATACATTATTTCATTTTGTTCGTATATTAAGCATATTAACATATGCTTAATATACGAACAAAATCTCTACATTATAATATACTTATTAAATAATACTCATTACAATAACGGATAATAGTTAAGAACAAATGAATTACTTACCACATTTAGTTCTATTTCTTTCTTATATTTGTCTAAGGAATCGTTCATGAATCCAGCATTATTAATAACCACATCAATACACCCATATCTGTCTATTACATCCTTATAACCATCAAAGAGTTGTGTATCATCAGTCACATCACATTTTATATGTTTTACTTTATTTTTATTATGAGCTGTGCTGAGTATTTTTTGTTCTGTGAAAGGATCTTCAATATCCAAAATAGATACATGCTGCAAAGAAAATTCACAAATATAATATATGTATTTTTTTAAATAACTATATATTATTCTTTATCGAATAGGTACTTGTTCACATTTATATACTTGTATATAGATTATTTATTTTCTGACATGATTATGAACAGTATATTATTGTGCCATCTCATTTTTCATGTCCAGGGAAGATTTTGGGGCACCATTGCAAGAGAAAAGCCTACAATAATTTATTTTAATATAAATGATATATAATAATAATAATGTAATAATAATCTCAGGACAATTCACACAGCGCCATCTAGACCCAAGTTAAGCTAGCTAAAGCTTGTGTTATGGGTACTAGATAACTGATACAAATACATAGATTTTTTTTCGTAAATATATACATATTCTACACAGAAAACACACAGACCGATACAAACAATATATATATATATAAATGTTTGTGCCAAAGAGCCGACCATCGATATGTAAAGCGGTGTGTCATCAAACCACCGAGGTCGTCTATTATATTAAATATTAAATTAAAAGATAACTACATAAAAAGTTTTAATGCAAATTGTTTATATAAGTAGATATTTTTATATTAGTAGTATTTTTATGCTACATAACATCAATGACTACAATCTCTATTAAAATAAAACATCGTTAATATAATAACTAGTATGAGTGAATGTTATTTCTATTATGTTTTACTTGGAAATGACAACATCCAATAGATGCGTTATTAATATTATTTTATAATACGTAGTAGATATTTTTACCTTTACATTTTCGACGTCAATTAATATTTTGACTACTTCAGCGCCTATCCCATTCGAGGCACCCGTAATTAAAACCACTTTCTCTCTCCACTCGAACGTCATTTCTGCACAGTCAATGAAATCGAATTACATTGTATCTCATTATTTCTAACTTAAATAGTGACAGAAAATACATGACGCATATAGTGCTATGCTCTCGATAAAGCAATCTAAACAAATGGACTTAAAGTTTAATCTAGCTTGAGCATCGCTGCCTGTCAAATAGACTGGTACAGACAAAATACTCAAAACATGGATAATGAACAAATATTTACAACATAATAACAACAACACGGCAATACGACATATGCTATAAGTATAATAAATATAAGACTTTAGTAAAAAACAATATGATGAGGATGAAGCAGTGGTTAACCACGATAGATTATAGAGCGAAGGCGTGGAGGTCGACCTGACATTGACTATTATTGAGCTAGTAATAGCTAACGGAAGCCACTATAGTTTCAATTTCCTTATTGATTCCCCAGGATAATATAATTGACGGTAGATGAACAAACGATTGACACCTAGCGACAACGATGTCACTGTAGCTATTACAATTTGCTAGTGACCACGGCTAGTGCAACAGAGTACAAACATCGAATGAGGTGAGTATTATATTTACAATTAATTTTTTCATATTTAAGGGGGTCTTCCTATGTGATGGGTTGAAAAAATCGATTTTTTTTTTTCATAAATTGCTCCCTTAACATGTCTAGAATACGGTAGTAAAGCGATTTTAGAAAATTCGAAGTCGTTTTAAAGATACAGCAGGTAAAAGAAAGAGCGGTTCGGAGCGGTTCGGAGCGGTGAGTTGGCAGTTAGAGACCGGGCCTATTGTGTACCGTCGGCTTTATACCTGGCCTCCCTTTTATTAATATATTTGTTTATACAAGTTTAGACACGTTTCTACAGACTTAAACAGAAATTTCTATTGTTATAATATTTTACCGAAGTTATTTTAGTCTTGGTTGAACTTCGAAGAGAGCAACAGCTACAAATTATTTTTTTTCATAATGAGTGGACGGAAAGGAAGTACGAGTGGAAATGTTCATCCTGGTCGTAGTAAAAAAAGAAAGTTTAGTGGAAACCGTTTTACCCACCAAAATGATACGGTATTTACATCAGCTTCGGCCAAAAAATATATATATATATATATATATTCCCATCGCTTCGAATTTCGCATATTGCATTTTTGGAGTTTGTTTCTGTATTTGCTGCAATCTCTGAAATAGTTATATGTAAAACTTGTAAAAGTGACGTGTCTATTTCGCGATCAAGTTTCCGAGGCCTAGGCTTTAAAATTATTTTATCGTGTGAGTGTGAAAAACAGACAGTTATAAACTCAGGCCCGTTGATCGGAAATGCATTTGAGGTTAATCGTCGGTTTGTATTTGCGATGCGATTATTGGGAGTTGGTCAAGAAGGAGTAAATCTTTTCTGTAGCTTTATGGACATGTGTTCGGGTGTTGCAAATTCTACTTATACTGCACTACTGGAAAACATTCATATTGCTACATCTTCACTGTGTGATACTTTATTGGCATTCGCTGTTACGCAAGAAAAAACTATGAATGAAGAATCAGGAAAACCACAGGATGAATTGATTGTGTCAGGTGACGGTACTTGGAAGAAAAGAGGCTTTTCATCTCTGCTATATATATCGGCAAGTACACTGGGAAAGTTTTAGATGTCATGGTCATGAGTAGTTTTTGTGGTGGATGTAATTTGTGGAAAAATAAAAAAAAACAAATCCTTTAGAATACGAGATGTGGTATGAAACGCATGTAGATGAATGCACCATAAACCATTCCGGAAGTTCCGGTAAAATGGAAATAAGTGCCATCACGAAAATGTTTCTGAGGTCTGTAGAAAAATATGGCGTAAAGTATCTAACATACATTGGCGACGGTGACAGCAAAACTTTCAAGGGCATCCTAGATACTAAACCGTATGGAGATACTGCGGTAACAAAAAAATGTGTGGGTCACGTAGAAAAGAGGATGGGAACACGACTTCGGGCTGTTAAAAAGGATAAAACCAATAAAGGAATAGGAGGAAAAGGAGCAGGTAAACTTACTGATAAAGTTATCCAAGAAATTACAAAATTCTACGGATTAGCAATTCGACGCCATCCAGATTCGCTTGAAGATATGAGAAAGGAAGTTTGGGCAACGTACTATCACAAATGTTCTTCTGATGAAAACCCTCAGCATCAATTTTGTCCAGAAGGCGAAGACAGTTGGTGTAAATGGCGTAAGGCTGAAGCTAATAATGAACTGGACCAATTTCATCACGATAAACCACCTCTAATTCCGCAAGTCCAAGAAGCTATCAAACCGGTTTTCGAAGATTTATCGAAAGACGAATTATTAATTCGTTGTTTAGGAGCAGAGACACAAAACAATAACGAATCTTTGAATTCTTTGATTTGGACTTTCGCTCCTAAACATCTTCATTCTGGTCCCAAAGTTGTTGAAATTGCTAGCTACTTAGCAGTTATTATCTTTAATGAACATTATCTTTAATGAGGTTTTCAAGGTATTTTAAAAGTTATGTCGATTATGGGATGCCCTGTTGGTCGTGAAGCCCAAGCGTATGTTGAGAAACGGGATGAAAAGCGAATCTTACGCTCTGAGCGGCGCGTAAGTGATGTCGTTAAACAAGCCAGGGTTGACTCAAGAGCTGAACAATCTGCTTTAAAAGAGTTTCACGAGGAAGAGGAAGGAATACTCTATGGACCAGGCATCGCCGATTGAGAGTAAGTTGATATTTTAATAGTTTTTAACGGACTTGAAACTTTAAACGCGTTTTTCTCAAAACTGTGTTTTTCAAACTTTCCTCCATTGTATCTCAGAAACGGCTGGACCGAATTACTTGAAATTTACAGGGCACACTCAATATATGTAAACGCATGGAATGAACTATTATCAATCGAAAATTTTCAAAAAAAAACGCCTTGTTTTATTTCAAATGTCTATCAAAAATCCAATTTTTTTCATATTCATTTGATTATAGGTCATTCCGTGCTTTTAAGCCTACAAATTAAAACGCCGTTTTTTTTTTTTTTTCAGATAAGCCGATCAGCCGGAATCGTGGAGGAAGTGGGAGCTCTTTTTTTCGAGGCGGGGGTGTTCAGAGCGCTGTAACTCTAGTTTGACTGAATATTTTTAGCTGAAATTTTATATTTATACTGTCCAAATATGTGTTAATAAATGATAAAAAACTTGAAGCTCTAAATATTTACAATCGTAGAAAAAAAAATCCTAAAATATCCCTAAAAAACAGCCGTCACATAGGAAGCTTGTACAAGCGGTACTTCGCATAGCTTGTACATGTATTATAATGTAAATGTTTCTATTGAATCACTCTGTCTATTGCTATAAACTGCATTAAAATCCGTTGCATATTTTAAAAGATCTACCTAAGCGAACAGATAGCGGAAGTGATTTCATTTTATACTATGTAAAGATATTAAGAATGAAAGTAGTAATATTTATTGGATTTAGTAAATTGCTGCATTTTGGTATCATAAAACTTGTATTTCGTAAATTTAGCATGATAATTTGAAAATCTAATTTTAATGGTGAAATAAATAAAGAGGAAACATGTAACATACAAAAGTTATATTATATAACATTATCATCACGAAGTTCATCGACTCTGTGGTGATATTATAATTATTCTTTTCCATGACATCAATAATTAATTTATGTTCATTTTAATATTTATATTATGATAAAAACGCATGTGCCATTTTTATTGAAGTCATTTTGAAGTGATCTTCTTCTTTCGTTTCAAGGGCAACTAAATGTATTTACCCCAGAAAGTTGCGACGACTAGCGCATTCGATCGCACTTTTTATATCTTTTGTGAATCTTATTAAATTGTTGTGATTTTATTAAAAAATTATTCACATGGGATTTAGTTAATAATATATATACTACTGCATTTTTACTATTACAATATTCTATAGAAGTAGGTACTATATGAAGACTTTTTTAATATCTATTTATAAAATAAATTATTTTATTTAATATTATATTTCTGTAAAAATGCTCTTATCTCATCCTCTCTTCTATATCAATCCCTGTTAGGTGTATCGCGGATTTGTACAAAAAAACTTCTAAGAGGTAATTTACTAAGTGGTGGGAAGATCTATGTACTTAGTAATGTATGTGAATAACCTTTCATTTACCAAAAAATAATTTATGTACACAATTTTCATACAACAAGACCTACCCGACCTACGCAGTAGTAAAATTTTACATACTCGTATACTACCTACAAAATGTTTCATTGTCTCTAGTTGTCCTCATAATGCTAAGTATCTGATAATGTACGAGGATATTCATATTAGTTTACTACGTATACTGAAAAATATGTTATGTTTTTTTAGAAAAATATCAATAACAGAATAGTGTAAGTATCTATGTATCTACCTACCTATTTTTTTTGTTAACGATACTACAAGTTTTGTTGCTGTAAATGTTAGTGTGTTCATGTGTTATACACACTACTATCACATTCAGTGACAAAAGACAATTGGCGTACGAATAATTTTTGTTTTGACTGCTCAATAAGACAGGTCTAATTTTGTTTCGTTCCAAATATTATCATTTATCACGTTGCTATTCGAAGCGTAAACATTGTGGTTAATATTAAAATTATAAACGTATAAAATAAAACAAAATTTTCTGACGTCTAACAAACATCAGGTAAGCATTCAATTTAAATATTTTTCTATGGAATATTTTAATCTTGTCATAATTAGTAGGTGGGTGTATACACCTATACAAAGAATAGTTTATCATGATTAGTAGGATTACCAATTATTTTATTGTAAATTTAAAATTGCAAACTATTTTCGAACGACTTCAAAAATAGAATGAAGCCCAAAATTCTACTGCATTTTTTTTTAAATGTTACTCTAGAATCTTCTCTGAACCAGTAATTATTTTTATTCAAAGGTGATTCTGATAGGCGTTCTGGTGATATTCCAAATCAAATCTAATATATAAATTTCTCTGTTTCTCTGTTCCGAAACGGCTTGACCGATTTTATATGTGTATACAGTACGTCTAAGAATAGGTTTATAACTAATTTGTATACCCTTAAGAGTGGCTCACCCCAAAAAATTTATTCGACAATTTTTTTTATTTTTATTTTTCATTATGTTGCATTAAAATATATACCCTATATTTTTTATTCTTCTACCTTTCAACTCTAATTTTTAATAGGGATTTTAATTTACATAGATAAAACAACGTTTCAACAACGTCAGTTAGTATATATAATAAAAATAAAATTTTATAAGTAGTTTTTAAGTTATCCTTTATATTACGATCTGTATTGTTTTAATTTTTTTTATTTTTTGATTTGAAGTTCTTTCTACTCGTCAAGTTAACTAATTTAATCTTTCAATTAAATATACTTTTCGTAATAATCTCTGTATTATATCATAAGGTCATATATCGTGAATGCAATTAATTAATATTGACAATGACAATACTGATATAGGTATATGTACCTAAAAAATGATTCATTTACCTATTTGATACCAACTTATTTCAGTTCTTGAAATATTGCTTGACTTCCCCATTATTGATATGTACCTATATAGATTATATGTAATATTGTGCCAAAATCATAATACAGTATCTAATGACAATACAAATAAGCATTATGTTTAATTTCTTAGATACAACATAGTGATTTATTTATTATAAGTACATACATATGTAAATAGGTATTACATAACAATATGCATATTAAATAAAGCCCTATTCTGTATCTAAGAAATTACCGAAATACAAATTTAATAAACGAAAGTCATTTTAGGCAATTTTACCACTTGTTAGAATATGTCTAAAAATAGAATTGAATTGTATTGATGCGTTTCTATTAATTGACAAACGACTCAATAAAAGTCAGTGACCTTTCAACTTTGCTTAAACATTGTTATGATTAATACGTATTGTGTTACTTCATATAAAGTTCAAGAGGTAGAGCAGTGTTATTTATTAATAATTATTTTTAATAAATATAAATATATAATATAAAACTCATTAAGTATATATGAAGATCCTGTATTAACTTATATTTCTCAATAAAACATAATGTAGGTATTATACTACAAGTATAAGAGCAATATTAAAGTAGTTTATATTGTTAAACATATTTTTTGTTAGTGTACACTCTACGTATACCCTTATTCGTTCCTACAATCACAGGAACCGAAGGGACAAATATTATTCCACTATAACTATTATATATTAACAGATATATCCTAAATATTAGCGATATTTATGTTATATTTTACTTTTGAATCAAAATTATTTTTTAATTTGTTTTTAATTTTGAGGTTACAAATAAAGCGAATCCAATTCCAGTTTCCAAAGTATTTGTTTAGCCACTTTTCAGTGTGATATATTTTAAACCACCTAGACTTCATCTTTTTAGAGATAACCCCGACTTTGTCTGGTTTTTCAGAGATAACCCTACTTCGTATGGTTTTTTTAAGATAAAAGATAGCCTTGTGACACATCCTATAGGATGTATCTCGTAATCTATCTTTACGTCAATTTTCATTAAGATCAGTTCAGTTGTTCTCTGCAGATATCAGACAGTCATACAGACATATGACATATGTTGACTTACAACCACTTCAAACGGCGGATGTAAATATGTATAATTGACATGAGCGTAATATTATAGATAAATTTGTATGTGGAATACATCTCGTTTGTTGAAAAAGAAACTTTCTTTAATATTACATATACAGAAAATAAAATACTATCCTGACCATCTGGCTGAATGGCAGTCCTCCACAGTATGGTTCTCTAGAAACTTCCCGTAATGGTAATTCCGAACCGATACGATATTGAAACCTTTAAAAAAAAAGCTTATTCCTTCTTAAAAGGCCGGCAAGACACTTGCAACTCCTCTGGTATTGCGGGTGCTCATGGGCGGTGGTAATCACCTAACATTAGGTGAACAAGCTCGTTTGTTCCTTGTGCTATAAAAAAAAAAAAGTATTTAAAATGAAGATTCTGAGTTGATTTAACGAGTGCGCAATTAGTAATTTATATAATACATAATAACAGCAATTACGAACATAAATTAATACTACTCATTTATAAAATTATAAATAAATAATAAAAAAAGATCTCTATCTTAATGTTTACAAGGCGGATGCTGATGATAAAGATAGCTATATAGACAACAAAAGTTACATATACCAACGGGCTTTATTTTAGGCTACAATATTAAGTAAATTAACTGTATAGTACAGGCGGCATGGTTATTTATAAAAACTTGTATATTATATTAAAAATTGATATTATGTATAACTGATAATTCGTCCGCGTGGAATTTAACTTGATATTATTTTTCAAAATAAAAGTAGCCTAACTTTCGTTATTATATCAGTTACCTGCAAAAAAAGTCCCGTCAAAATCGATCCGGCCATTTCTTTCACAAACAAACAGACAGACAGACAAAAATTGTAAAAAATGTTATTTTGGTGTATGTGCCGTATTTATATACATAGGCATGTAGTAAAAATCGGTGACAGACACTCCAATTTTATTTATATGTATAGATAATTATAATCAATATTTTCGCTTTTCCGTAGATTATATAAAAAATGAAAATTTCAAAAACTAACTTAATTATATGATACCCTAATGCAGTTTGAGGCGATTAATTTTATAAAATTATATATATAAACAAATATATTATATTGTATACTATTATATCATAAGCATATATATTATATTGTATACAATATAATATTTATGTAGCGTATTTACACAAATGTACATTCTCCATCATGATTTGTAATGATGAATGAATGATGTTCATAGTCTAGATACTAGAACAACATAATTAAATACACAATTCCTAATACTTATGAGGCTACGGTGTAAATAAATGCGAGTGAAGTTGTGTATATAAGAGTGTGTGTTGTACTGCGTGATTGAGGTAGGTATCGTGCAATTGAGTACATATGGGTACTAGTAATGCACAATAGCATAGTGAACAGACGTATTGCTCATATATAGGATGCTTTAGTTATATCTTTTTTATATGTACCTTTAAGTATATTTTACTAATATTATAAATGTGGAAATTTGTGATTATGGATGGATGTTTGTTACCCTCTCATGCAAAAACTACTGAATGGATTTTAATCAACTTTAAATTAATATAGCTTATATGTCAGAATAACACACGGGCTATACGTTTCATGCGGATGAAACCGCGGGCACAGGTAGTTGTACATATTTATATAAGATGAAGTAGATATACTGAATGAACAGTTTTAGAACTAGTTTCTAAATTTAAATATAAATAGATTTAACAACATTATTTGAAATAGGTTTAGAAGATGACTTATATAAGTGTCATACTTTTTCATAAATCATAAAAGAAATTCTTTAATATTACTATTGTTATTGATAAAAAAAGACTTTAATAGAAATAAAATAGTTAATGTTAGCACCCTACTCAATGATTGTATGCAATTCATCTACATTGATTCAATAGAAGAGCCATTAAATAGCCATCTAGTTTAAGGGGTGTATATACCTACATACAGACAAATATCCTGATTGACTTGTCAACGCTAAGGACAAACGGATATTAAACATTTCCTGTCATGCACTCCTTTGGACATTCTGCATGACATTTTGCATGCAATTTTTGAATAAATATTTTATTATAAATAACCCTTGATTTTGTACAAGAAAACTATTATACATAAATATTAATTATATCCAGAATATATATCATATATAGGTGAACGTACAGACTAATACAAACAGATAGAATTGTTAATGGAAATCTTTGTATTGTCCATTGATTGAACTGAACATGTTATCTTCTAAAGGAAGATACATCAGTTTGATACACATATTAATTGAATGAATTCTAATGTCATCAATTATTTATTAAAAAAACCCAATCGGGTTTTCTTTAGAAATACCGTGTTTTAATATATTAGTATAGAAATTAATTGTTAAAATTATGTAGATTTTTTAAAAAAAGTACACGTAACATTAACTCGTGTAAGTTATTATTAAAAAATGGAACAACATTTTATGTCTTACAATTCGTATCTTATTCTTACATAACAGACCTCATAATATATAATATTCTGGAGTTGACTGTACACACCGTTTTGTTATCAATTTATTGCACTCGCCGAAGCGTCAGCCAACGTACCAGTATATAATATGGAAGGTACACTGATAATACCATTTTGTTTCAGACCAGCCACAAATAACGCCATGGTGCATGAATTGAGAAATAAGGTGGTGGTTATTACCGGAGCTGCTAGTGGTATAGGAGAGCGGGTGGTCAGAAAGTTGGTTAATGAAGATGTGAAGGTAGGCTTTAAAATTCTATTGTACACAATTTTGAATTTATATATAATCATCTTAGCAGAACAAGTCAAATTAGAAACCTTTCAGTTAATATTTTAAAGTAACACACTGGTACCTAGTTAAACAAAAAAATATTCACCGGAACGGAAAACAAAACACTTTGCAATTGGCCCATTTGTTAGCGTGCTAGTTATATCTGAGTGTAGTTTTTTTTTGTATGTCGAACATTTAACTAGATACATTTCAATATTAAAATTCACCTAGAAAAACATAGTCGTCGGTAACTTCGAATATAGTATTATCCCCAACAAATGGCGATATTAGCGTTATACGGATATTCAACATTACATTAGTCTTGTCTATTTCGCAAAATATAATACCGTGATTATATCAAATACAAATAAGAGCTTTTATTTCCCAGCTTATAGCTATTTTGGATATAGCTGAAAAACAAGGAGTAGAACTTCAAAATGAATTGAATGCTAAATATGGGAATAAAGTTAAATATATTAATTGCGATGTCACAAAAGATGAACTATTATTTGCTGCGTTTGAAACTGTCATCCGTGAGGCTGGACCAATTGATGTATTAATAAACAATGCAGGAATACTGAACGACAGCGAAAAGGCTTACAGACTCGAAATAGATTTGAATGTGGTAAGTTTATTACATATATCTGAAAACACACAGTATAAATTTACTCTTAAACAAATGATAAACTTTATAGAATGAATGACAATTACCAAATCTTATTTGTGATAGCCAATTGGTATCTAGTTATTACAAAAAAAATATTGTATATTTTATTAATATCTTAGATATTTCATAAACCCAGTATGCCCATAAATATAGCCTATTGTTTTGCAAGTAGGTGTCAAATATTTTTTTCTATTTATGTACCAATTTGGTGGTATTTGGGAAGCGGCAAAACATGTCAAGATTTTCCACTTCCCAATACCCAGTGCCACAAAGTTCTATAAATAGGAATATAATTAGTACTACACTGTAATAACAAAAATAGAACTTGAACAACAGAAAAAAGCACCGTTCACATTATTAACCTAATAATAATAATAAGTATTCAGTATCATTGTTCTATATTTTTCCAGAAAGCATTAGTAACGAGCTCGCTTAAAGGATTGGAACTAATGCGTAAAGATGAAAATGGAAATGGCGGGGTTATCATTAATATATCATCAATAGCAGCATTGTGCCAGTTAGCTGAAACTCCCATCTATTGTGCCACTAAAAGCGCAGTGTTGCAGTTCAGCAATTGTCTTGGGGTAAGATATTTATTCAATTATACTGACGCGAGTTCGATTCCTCGCAGGATACAATCATATGTATTTATAAGGATGATTGTTTGTATAAGTCTGGATGTCTTCTGTGTACATTATAAATGTATTTACATAAAATATATATTTCAGAATTAATATCAGTTGTTTAGTATGTACTAAACAACATTGGTGTCCATAACACAAGTTCTGCTAGCTTGGGACTAGATAGCACTATGTTTGTCCTCATCTCAATGTCAATTGTCCCATTATTGTTAGTAATATTACAATTGCAATGTTAAATAAATATTAAAAATTATTAAAAATGAAATTTATATAATAAATTGTAGTAGGATAAATTTTACCTTTTGTACAGAAGAATATGTATATACAGATTGTATTTATACCTTTCTGACTAATTTCAGGCGCCAAGAAATTAACTTTGTAAGTTGTGTTTAAAGGATAAAATATATCATTATAATTATTGGTTACGGAGGCATGACATCATTATCCACCATCCATGCTAGAGTACTATTCTTAGAACCACGGGTTAGAGTACTATTCTTAGGTACCTTTACCTACTTATTTCAGATGGACAGCTACTATTCTAACACTGGTGTACGAGTGATTGCCGTATGTTTCGGAGCAACTGACACACCACTTCTGCACTTGGAAAATATGCAAACTGTTGATAATAAAATAAAGGCATTAATACCAGATTTAATGAAAACCCTTCCTATGCAAACGTGAGTTTGATGCAAAACAAACTGGTCAGAGTTTCAACTAATGTACTGAATAATAATACATTTTCTTGTAAATGAACATGTTAAAAAATGAGAATTAGAACTTAAAATTGATTGTATTTTTTATATCTATCATAGTTACGCAAAATAACCAGTCAGTCAGTTTCTCGATTTTATGCTATTTTATAGAGTTACTCAATTGACAGTGAAACACAGAGTTATTATAAAATTACATAGATAATTGTAGGTATGTTATGTGAATTATTGAATAAAAGTTAAATTAGTTAATTTTTGAAAAAATAAAGATAATATGTACTCAAAATGTATTCAAAAAAATAATTTAAAAAAAGAAACAATATTCTGCACCTCTAATGACGTCGGTGATATTATGTATACAATATACATAATATCACCATAGATGTATTTGCTATAAATTACCACATACTTTCTAAATTTTTGTTCCAGACCTGATAATGCAGCTGCTGGTGTTATAGAAGTACTCAAGAAAGGAGACAGTGGAAGCACGTGGCTTATAAGCTCTGGCAGATCAGCAGAGGACATTTCTAATGAAGTGAAGAAAGCGTATGAAATGCTCTCTGCCCTTATATTTAAATAAAATTCTTATGGTTACTCTATTTTTAAAGGAAATTAAATTAAAAATGGACACGTGTGGCAGTCGCCGGGTCCAATATTTAGAGATTTTCTATTATTTATTTAGTTCCGTAACTTTGCTAATACAAATATAATCATGGAAATCGCTTGTTAATTTTTTGACGTATTTTACAATAAATGAACTAAGTTGTATTAAAATTTCAAGCTTACAGCAATAGGCACTTTTTTTAAACCTTATAGAAGACTTTATTACGTGCAGGCCAGTTAGGGTCATGTCATATGTACCATGCTATAATATTTACCCGCTGTTTCATGCTTTCTCAGTTTATTTACTTTATTTGTAAAGATAATTTTGATGATAAATATTAGCACCTAATACTTAGTTTTGGTAGAATTAAATAGTATTCTTGTAAATGTCTAAAAATAAAATATGTTTATAATATATTTATTTTTCTTTTTATATTATGCTAGCTACTCGCCCTGGCTTCCCCCGGGTGTACATGTATTATACATATAAACCTTCCTCTTGAATCATTCTATCTATTAAAAAACCGCTTCAAAATTCGTTGCGTAGTTTTAAAGATTTAAGCATACATAGGGACAGACAGAGACAGCGACTTTGTTTTATACGATGTAATTATACATATACATATATTTATTAGCGACATAAATATATTTCATAATATTTAGTAATAGAACAATGCTTTTTTATTTTATTAGATTGGGTAAGATCCTAAATATGCCAACCTGATGGTAAATGGTATCCATTGCCTATATACATGAACAGCACTAGGAAAAAAAATTTTAAGTGACACCCATGTTACCATTTATTCAACGGCATTCTAGCAAGCCCTAAAAAAATGAAACTAAGATGAGACCCCCACGCAGACAGACATCTATATACAAACTGTTCCTTGCCAAAAAATTGCTATACAATTTCATTAGGCGTATTTTTTTAATAAAGCATGAAATATTTCGAAACCTCATAAATATAATTACGAATCAATATTCTGATGGCAGTCATAAATTTATGTGTGATGACTTGCGCGCATTTATGATTATGACTGTTTTAATCAAGCTGTTATTCTACAAAAAATATGTAAGTAAATAATAAATTTTATTTAATCATACTTATGATTTTATAACTTTGCTTTAATAATATACCATTCTCTTATTTATCCCTCCTTCGATTAATCTCCCGTCCAATTCAACCGGGGATCGAATTTACGACTCTCGAAACCCTAGCGATGCAGACCAAAGTCGTACCCGTCAGGGAGAAATTGATTTTTTTGTAAGTCCTTCCGATGGCTAAGAGTGCCATCAGCACTCCACTCGTATCGTTAGGTGAAGCTGTAAAGGCCATCAGAGGCCAATAGTATTAGAATTGTTCAAAAAAAAATTCATACACTTATTTATTATCTATATCTAATTCATAAAATGTGTTTATAATAATTCAACCTCAGAACTCAATATCCGTACATTCTATGTTTGTATTATGAAATATGTACTCGTATTTTATTCATCATTTAATTTTTTGTATTTTGTTTGCAATGGCGTTTCTTGTAATTTAACCACATTTGAAGTCGATTATTTTATGCAAAGAATTAAAATTTGTCAAGATTTTTTTTATTACCACGATTTTATTATCAATATCGTCTGAGGTATTTTGAAAGTAAAGTCAATTCATTTAACGTACAATTAAAAATAAAGTGAAATCAACCGATAACTATATGGTATAGGTACATAGGCGAGGCAGCTGTTTGTTATAAGCAGAGATATGCCATTGAAACTAAGTTATTTTAAACGAAATAGTAATTAACGTACTATTATTCTAGTGCTATAAATTTACTGTATAATAAAGACAGCTCTTACATATTTACTTATATATTTATTTGCTTTATTGTGCAATAATAATCAGTTTTATTACTAAAGGTAAAGATGAGCATGAACACTATTAGACGTTTATTTATAGGAAAGTACACGATACGATCAGGAAGTGATAGTTTTTAATCGCTTATCATCTTCTAAATTAAAACACTACGCTTAATATATAAACAAGATAGGGCAAATGCAATGTAATCGCAATCCGGCCGTTGTGAGATCGACACGCGTGCTCCAATAAAATGTACGAAGTAGTAAATAAAGTTGTATTAGTGACGGGTGGTGCTGCAGGCATCGGTGCTGGAATTGTAGGAGAGTTTTTAAAAGAAGGTGCAAAGGTAAGGACATTGTTTTATGTTTGATACCGAAAGATAAAATATGTAAACTGTACTTGAAAAATTTCGTGACTTAAATATAAGTAATTATCTTTATTAATGCACATTCTTTGCGTCTGAGGGTAAAAGCGTAAAAACTGTATTTGTCTCTTTTATTACATAGGCAAAAGTATTTAGAGCAATATAAAAGAGCAACGATATATCGAGAAGAGGCTCCATTGGAATTTCATCCAAATCCGTGTTTACAAATAACAAACTACATACATCAGAAATATAAGAATTTAAAATAATAATAAACAGGATACTTACGATACGTTGACATAATAGTCATAAATTATTCTCAAACACAAGTATTGTACTTACAACAGTATACAAAATCATATATTTATCTAACTGCTATTTTTTACAGCATGTAGCAGCCTTGGACGTCGACGTAAATAGTGGCAAAGCATTAGAAACTGAACTGTCCTCAAAATATGGTGCAAATAAGATAAAATTTTATAAATGTGATGTGACTACACAAGATTTGGATCTTGCTTACGATAGTATTCTTAGAGAATTTGCATATATTGACGTAGTAGTCAATTGTGCTGGTATTATGAATGATAGTCCAGATGCATACAAAAAGGAAATTGCTGTGAATGTGGTGAGTTATACACACACATGTTTTATGCACGTACATTTCTTTTATAAAAATATCAAAATACCATAGAAACCATTGCTAGAAGAAATTGCTATGTATATAGAAGAGCTGGTTTACCTAACAGTGTGTTATTGTAATCCAATTATTTTTTAAAGAATTAAACATTTTTTTCATGCCTCAATATACATATATCTTTACATAGTTTAAAACCAACCCGCGCCCGATGTCAGTAAGCTGAAATCTTTAACGCTGCATTTTAATGCAATTTTCAGTAATAGATAAAGTAATTCAAGAGAAAGGCTTATATGTATGTATGTATATTCAAGTGAAAACGAGGCGAGTAGTTAGTCGTTATTAAAAATATGTTATGGTTTGAACAGTAATATACATATTAATTTTTTTTAAAAAATATGTAATTATCCATTATTCTTTTTAAATGTATATATTTAATTTTGAACGAAGTAAGAGTTCTATAACTATCCGATAAAATAATTTTAATATAGTATATAACAATACCATAATAAACGTCATATACTTAAGTGCATACAGTAAATTAATTTGTACTATACGACTTTAGAAACTTCGCGCAGAATTATTGCAATTCAATACTTTATCATTTGCGGAACTTATCATTATTTATAAACATCATCATAAATATATATTTTGCACTATAATAACACTATCTTACGTCATATAATATTATAATATACTGACGCCTTTAGTGGTAGGTATGATATTTTGATACACTAACTTAACGAACGATAGTAATGGGTTCGATATCTGCAATATAAAAAAAAATCTGGGATTATGTATTTGTTTGATCTGGATGTTTTTAATATATGATCCATTGTCAATAGATGTATGGACTATATGAGAGACGACAACAGATAAAAACTGGTAAATATTTACAGTACAGCCGCCCAAACACTGACAATGACAATATTATGTAAAAACAGACACTCAAAATCATTGTAAATATTAATATGTATATATAAATTTTTAGAGTTTGCAACAACATATAGACCAAAGTACTATATACATATATAGACATACACATAGAAGATTTCAAATGACGTGAAACCGTTACAAACAAACAGTAATTTAACTTCGGCCTTCCTCTGCCCTCATAACCATCCGCATTCATAAGTCACACCTTTGTTAAAATATATGAATAGGAAGGTAAGTTTAACTTACCTACGCATCCATACAGTAATATTAGAAATAATATCTACAAAACAATCTATTTTTACCAGCCACTGTTAGGGATTCCGATAAAAATATTTACATGTTCACTTTCTGTCATTATAATGAAGCCAGTTCTTTTTCTGTTTAATCAAGTTGATAATGCACTCGTGTCTGTGATAGCGCAGTGTTTTGTTTAAACGACATGATAATGTCATAGAATGCTATGATAATCACATAGAAAGACGCAACCGATCGGTCATGTAGGTACACATGTGTGCAATATAAACAAACCAATTGTTGTACGTGAATAAAAAAAGATAAGTAATCTACCTTTATATAGATTTTCAGCATCATTTTTAAATATGACTTCTACATCTTACAATTCTTTCATGTGGTTCTACGATTACTTTGCTATTTAATTACATACCCTGCGAGAATTGTTGTCTCGTCTTTTCGTAACAATGTATGTGGTTCATGTTCCCTTGTTTTCTAGTAAATTATTAATTTTATCGTCATCATCATCATCTACTTCTTCCTTAACCCATTCATTTGGGGTCGACGTAAAATGTTTTTCTCTTCCATAAACCCTTGTTCTCAGATATCGCGTTATTTATAATTATTAATTTTATCGTCATCATAATAAGACATTGTTATTTTATTACTGAACATGGGTCTGTAAGGGATGGGACGTAAGGGTTTACGAGAAGAATTTGTCTCTTTGTTATTATATTACTGTACAAAGATATTTTTTTATGTTTACTTCACTTGTTTTGTTCTTAACGTATGTGTGTTTAGTTCTTCCATTCGGTTCTTATTAGATCCTGGGAATATAACGTAATGTACACGTGACATTATATTTTACCCGTCATCACACAGTTACTTACCTACCAATGATAAGATATTTTCAATTATACTAACACGTTAATTAAACTTATGTATTAAATAGAATATGCTAATCATATCAATTACGTTTACATACAAGACGGCACTGATAACAAGCTCGTTGAGAGCACACAAACTAATGAGCAAGGATGAAGGCGGAAGTGGAGGCACCATCGTCAACGTGTCATCAATAATAGGACTGTTTCAATCAGCCTTATTACCTATTTATGCTGCTACCAAAAGTGCTGTCCTGCAGTTCAGCAATGGCCTTGGAGTATGTATATGTATTTTGGTTTATTGTATTTATGGTTTGTATTTACAATATTGTAACTTTTTTATTCTGCCTTATAATTATGACTCGAATTATTGATAGTTAAGACTCGATTATATTTGAGGGTCTTGGTGGTCTAGCGGTTCAGCACACCATTATAATTCCGATGGTCGCAGTTCGATTCCTCGCACGGTACAAACATTTGTATTCATAAGTATGATTGTATCGGTCTGGGTGTTGTCAATATATATTTTGTATGTATTTATAGAAAAAAATCTAACAATTTATATCAGTTGTCTAACATCCCAAGCTCTGCTTATTTTGGTACTGGGCGAGGTTGTACTGTCTTGTATTATCTAGGGATTATTATTATTATATTTATTGAGATGTCGAATACAATTACTGGTGTACAATTATTAACAGTAAAACGAAACTATAAAATAAATGAGATTCAAACAGAGAACACATACATTTGTCCATTTGAAAATTATGAAACAAAATACTAAAAATGTTTTATATTATTATTTTTCTTGGAGTTTTCTACAAAACTTACCTACAATAGGAAACATTGTAACAAAAATATTTTCTTCTAGATGGATCCAAATTACTCACAGTCTGGTGTCCGTGTCGTGACAATATGCTTCGGTGTTACCGATACATCATTAATTAAAACAACCAAAATGGGCGCATATGATACTAAATTAGATGAAGCGCTGGCAGCAGCAATGAAAACTTTCACAGTACAGAGGTATTTATTTTATTTCTTACAACAAATATCTCATTAAGTCCTTTCAGAGGTCAGCAGATAAACCTGAGGGATATAAGTCTCTATTATGTCTCTCTTTATCTTTTATCAGTTGTCAAACGCGAACACAGTCATAGACTATCAGTATACGATTCAACAGAAAGCAATAAGTTACTCCAGATATCCTCTGAAACTTACGTAATTTTAGTACAGCAATTGTATCGTTCGTTATCTTAGTTAATATTTTTTTTGCCGAAATCTCATAGTCAAACAAAATAATGCCCTTCCTTATTTTTGCTTCACATTTTCTTTCTGACCAGCAGTTTTCTTGTTGACGTCACATTTTTTAACGTAAATATTCTGTGGTTATTGTATTTAATTTACGGTTTTACAATATTAAATATGTTATATATATATTATTAGCATAAATTATACAATCATCTTATATATAATTATATTGCCAATTTAATTTTATTGAGTTATTAAACTTGCTTATTATAGGCCGGAATCAGCAGTACGTGGTCTGCTTGAAGCTTACAAGAACGGCTCCAGTGGTAGCACTTGGTTGATAACATCGGACAGGCCAGCAGAAGACGTAACCGCCAACGTCAACGAAGGTTATAAAGTACTTTCACGAGGAGTATTCGATGGTTAAAAATACCGCTTTACTTTCGATGATCACGGGTTCGATTCCTCACAAGGTACAAACATTTGTATTCATCAGTATAATTGTTTATATTGGTCTGGTTATTTTCTATGTATATTATGTTTGAATTTATAATATATATATATATATATATATATATATATCAGTTGTCTAGTACCCATAACACAAGCTCTGATTACCTGATAATTGTATTTATTTATTTGAGATACAAAAAGTGTTATGTCATTATATAATTTTACCTGTATATACGTTATGTACCTAAAAATAAAGTGTTAGTAATTATTCAGCCTAAAATTAATATACACCTACTTAGCGTATCTACCTATATCTGAATATAAGTACAGAACAAAGTTGATATTCGAATCTCTTTGTTTCACCGCTTACTTCTTCTTCTACAACGCGACAATTTCGATACGTTTTTAGTTATAATTTTAGGAATTTTGGTAATTATAAGTTTATATAAATAATATATAAACGATATACAGTATATGACCTTGTTGCATGCTATATATCCATGTATAGCAAGTATAGGTCGCTGGTTAATTGGCATATTTAAAAATTTGAAATAAGATTTCGATTATTAAATTGGGAAAGTTGTTTAAGCACCAGTACACAAAAATATTTATTTCTAAACCATAATAAATTAGATTCGTTAGATATTGCCCAATTTATAGAATATCTTTTTAAATTATAGACTGTATGTATTCTGAAGTACAAGCTGTATTACTGGAAAGTTTCATTGAATTCGGTTCAGTAGTTTTTGTATGAATGAGCGACATACTCCTAACTCTACATACATATATCCAAAGTTTTACGTGTATACCTAATATTAGTGGAATTAGTTGGATTTTATTCAGTTATAAGTTCAGTATCGGAACGTAATAACATAGAAACCTAGTAGAATATTACGTCAGATTGCATTGCATACTGCGTCAGTAGATTCAATATCAAGGTAACTCATTATCATTGCGCTACTGACAATACAAAATGCATGTAATGTAAAGGAAGCTACTATCTGTGCCAAGGCGATTAGAACCAGTTTCCGATTATTGACGATTAGTTAGGCATTCCAGTTAGTGAAATGAAGGAAATTCGTCCTTATTTATACTGTACTTCAATCCAGAGAAGCAGTTCCTGAATATTATGTATGCATTTACAAAAAACATTGCATTTATACCTATGTAGTACCTACCTATATTACAATATAAAATAAGTATGCTTAGCTTCGGTCTAGATGAAGTTGGGTGAATTGTCCTGGGTTGTTATTATTACGAATATTTCATGTTGCACATACTAACGGTATATTCTGACGGGGCGGTCGATGATGATGAGTTGAAGATGAAGTTAGGTCAGTTGCCCATCATAGCGATTTCACCAGGAATTAACCACCACCACGTGGAGGTGTTGTGGTATAGTACAGGGGACAAACGAGCATGCAGCTCACCTGATGGTAAGTGATCACCGCCGCCCTTGAGGATCCGCAACACCAGAGATATTGGAAGTACATTGCCTGCATTTTAAAAAGGAATAAGTTCTTTTCTTGATGGTTTCAATATCGTATCGGTTCGGAAAAACCATTGCTGGAAGGTAATTCTAAAAAGTTTCTAGAAAAATAAAATGTGTTTATTTTATATATAACTGAATAAGTTGGCAGACCAGTTGATGGTAAGTAGCAACTGCTTGCTGCCTATCTATCTATTCTAAACAAATACGGACATGATGTGATAGCTTATAGTCGCCAATAATGATTTTAACTATGAATGAACTATGAACTATGTATCTACTATTACTATAATCTTCAATTAGTAGATTTAAAAGATTTTCTAATTACATTTTAACAGGGTTAATGACTACTTTAACTGGACAGCACACGTTGGTCGCACATGTTCCTTGATGTAAATAAAAAAGATATTCATGCAGTAAATAATTTATTTTAAAAATTTCTTAATCATTATAACTCTTCGTAATCATTGTTTTGAATGTGAAATTAGGTATCTCTGCTTATACGGCTATTATCGATCATTATTGTCTTCCAGGATAACACGTGTTTGATTAACTATTTAGTTCCCCCAACTCTTGTGAACAGTTTGATATGGTGTAATGTATCTGAGTAAATCGAAATCTGGAATTACCGTACATTATGGAAGACCATACAAACTTTCTCTACACCAGACTAGTATTTTTTATATATACAAAATCGTTAAATTAAAAAAAATACAGTGTTAATTACTATCACAATATCAGAGAAAATAAAGTTAATGTTTAATTTTAAATGATCGTTTAACAAAGTGACAATAAAATAGAAAGTGAAGATTGTAAAACGTAAATATAATATATAGAAGAACTTTCTCGAATTTATTATATATTTATATATTTCTTTATTTTTAAATACCTATCTAAAAATTCAAATACTTGAATCTCTAGATTTTTTTTACTATATTTCATTAAATGAGATTAACTTTGGAGTTTCTAATATAAAGTAACCAAAAAGAACCTAAAACACAATTACGACAATTTAAATTTAAAATGTTAATAATAAAACTTTGAATCAGAAAATAAGAAACATTTATTTCTGACTTTAGCTCGTTTTTTACTCAAGTTGATCTCATTTAATTGTAATTTTTCTACAATTTTCACTAATAGTTAACGCGATAATATAAACTTTAATAATTTCCTTGGGAAACAAACATATATCACTTCAATACATTTCTAAGATATGAATACTTGTAATTCTATTTACATCGCAACTTATTCGGCTAGGATATTAAATTATTCATTTTCCTACAATAATAAATTAAGTTATTTCAATTTGAATTAGAATATTCGTAGAACAATAATTTATTATTATATTGAACGTGATCAAATATTTGTAAAATATATATACCATCAACCTCATAGCTCACTTCATATAATATCAGTTGTATCTATTATATTGGGAACCCAACATAAATATTATAAATAAGGGTATAATTTTCTAATCTCTTTAATTGAACATGAGTAGTTCTTACAAAAATGGCAGTTTCATATCACGTATACAAATTTAGATCAACATTAAGAACACAAGTTTTAACATCTCTGAACAATTATTTCTCAATAAACAGATTTATTGCCGCATTATCCACACTAATGTCTAGTTATTTCTTATATTCATTTTTATATAACGAACCTCGATAATTAGACGCTACAAATTCTTATTTATATACAACATGTTGAATCACAATCACATGATCTCGAAATGTGCCACGTTTCGATCGGTCAAACATTCAATGCATACTTTGTGCGTTTTATTTTATTTCGTAAATTAGCTGCAAGGAAACGAGACCAATAAACTGAATTGATCATCAATCAGTTCTCTTACTACATTGTTATATGAAGATTTTTAATCTAATATTTTTACTTTTCCATGCAATTATTCAATCATTATCTTTCTTACAAATTCTTGTTATTTGCCCTGAAGTGTCAATCAGATATATAATTAACTAAGTAATTTTTACTAAAAACTATCAGGAAATGTAATTAAATGTATAAAGCGTTTTTATAAACGTCAATAAAAGATTTAATGCTTATGAATTGCTTAAGTGTGTGATTGAAATCTGCAATCATTATTTTTTTATATAAATTTACTTGTCTGTAATTTTAGTATTTAGATACTTATCACCATTATAATTTTAAAGAAGAAATTTGTATTGCCAAGTGTTTGATTGTATACCATTTTATTTCGACTATTTTAGTAATAGTAGATATTGAATGTTAAATTTCGTTTACATAATCAAATTATCATCTCCATGCTATAAAAAGGGATATATATTGGCCACCGATCGACTGCACTTGGTCCGATATATAATTCTTTGCCCTAACAATAGGTACTACTTAATACATATTTACATCGCCGTAGACTCAACATTTGAAGGAACCCTTACAACTTATTCATTTATAGTAATACTCTATGGACTACGAGGACATCCAGTTCAATAAGATTCTTTAGACAATCACGAAATTTACATATTCTTCCAAAATATTCCATTGTGTTCAACACGATGTTCAAATATTCTTTGCTATATAGGTGTGTTTTTTAACATTGTTTATCTTCAGAGATTTCTTTTCGTTGTTCAAAAATATACAAATTACATGAGTACTGACAGAAAATATTATTTTTTTCACGTACACTGATTTCCACCAACTGTTGTAATGTTGGACAAGTTTAAAATATTAAATACGTCCTTTAACGGAGACAACGAATAAATTAAAGATGCGCAACTTGTAGAATACTGAAGTTATTTTTTTAGATTTATGTCTTTCTGAATAATCTTATTGATAATTCACATAGTTAAAGTCCTCGAAAGCCAAAATTCAACAAAGATATTGGACTCTATGCGGGAAACCGGTCACACAGTGGTGACTCTGTCGATTTCCACATATCGCACAGAGTCCTCGCTTGGTCAGCAAATTACTTCTTTCTCATCGAAAATTCCGGTGTCCGAGGAAATGCTCTTAAGGCGCTGTTGCAATGCTGAGCGGCGGCGGCGACAGGAACGTGTTGCCGCTATCTGAAATTTGCACACATATAATAATAAATCTTATTATTTAGTTAGTCTAAATAAAGTATACAGTATTACAACATATTGTATTCATTTTTCCGATTGCAGTAAGTATAGTATCTATAACATTTTAATGTCAATATAGTTATTTTCGCTGAGATGACTTGTTCGCATAGAGCAATAATGAACTTAACTTTTTAGAACCACGGAGTGAAAAATATTTTCATTCTTAGGATCTTTAAAACCACTATTTCTGTTCGATCCTACATTTTTATTCTTATACTGGTAATATCTCATTATTTTTCGCTGTTTAACTTAAAATCATTTTTTTTGTAATAGACTAGCTGCTACTTGCAACATTACGTTACGTTTTTTTATGTTAAAAGACAGAATACTTCCATACTTGTAATACAATTTATCTTCACGTCAAATTTCGTTTCGAACTATCCATATATTCTAAAATAGATAATAAACAGACAGACACGCTTTCGCATTTATAATTTTCTTAAAGATTATGGATAATATGCAAGTATCTTTACAATAGGATAGGCAGTTATCACAGTTACAGTTTATATGAGCATACTTCAATTTTGTGCTCTAAAACTTAGTAATACAGACCATAGCTAACTTTAAACGAAAAAATTTAACGAATTTTACGTAAATTTGAGTATAGTTCAATCTTGTACTTTAAAACTATTAGTAATACAGACCACAGCGAACGCCGCGAGGATGGTGACAGCCAGCATCGCGGCAGCATAATGCGCCGGCACCCGCAACAATGCGGAACACTGCGACAGCCGCTCGTCCTCGCCGTGCGGACACTGCGCTACTCCGTCACACCACAGGGCGGGTGCAATGCATGCATCTAATGATGCGCAGCGGTACTCGCAGTCGCCCGACAGCGCGAATACTCCGCCACGTTCACTTGCATATCTGCAAGAGGAGTTTGGTGTAATTTATACTAATGTAATTAATCAATCAATTATTCATGTAGGTCTATTACTGGCTTTTAGGGTGTATCAAATCTACGGTCAGTTCGCAATGCTTTCGAGCTGAGAAGAACTGACAAGGAATTCAGCTCGTATTCTTTTCAAATAATGTTTACAATAATACAGAATAGAGTGACTACCAGCATATACTATTGCAATTTTGTTAAAAGCAAATAGTCTAATCAGTGTTCGTAACCCGAACGGATGTTTTATTATACCTATATATTTAATCTATCACTATACAGAACATGCAGAAATTTACATATGAAATTTATTTTTAATAAACCATTGATAATTCATATAACGTCATCAAGTGCCAAAGTAAGCAGAGCTTGTGTTGTGGTTATTAGACAAGTAATAGAAAACACTAAGACCAATAAAAAAAACCTATTCATGAACATTTGTGACGTTTGTCAGTGCGAGGAATCGAATCCACGACCATAGGAAGTATAGCGGTGTGCTACACCACAAGACTAACGAGGCCGTCAAATTAATGTCAATTCAGTAGCGTTTCTAAAGCTTTATTATTATTATTTATCGTTCTTAATATTAGTTGTGACATGGAAAAGGTTATCACTTGCGTCTACTGATATCATTGATAAAATTTGTACATAAAAAACTATAACAAAAGTTAGAATATAATTTGGTGTTTCATGTGTTATTTATTATGACTATGATTATTTATATCAGTCTGAGTGTTTTCTATGTATGTTATGACTGTATGAATTTACTAAAAAAATCTGTATTTAAGTATTTTACCAGTCGTTATTTCATACATCATACCTACTAAATGTTGAGTAGGTTTACTCTGGCGGTACATCACTGGGAGGACGATAAGATGAGCATGAGATCAGGTGAGTAAGCCCATTGAGGCAAATTAACCAGTTATTTATAATAATGATTTTGAGTGGAACCGCGTGTAGGTCAACCTGTTATGCATTGTTAGCAATGAGATAATTAGCCCATATTACTAACAATTCCCTTTCACCTCGGTAAAACAGAATTAGACCCATGTTTGTCATCAAATATATAATATAAAGATAAATGAATTAATAGATCACTGATTGAGGTCATAATACAATGTTATTAGGGAAAGTTAGTGGGGTATTATGAAATTAATTGGCTATATTGCAGCAATATACAGGATATGATGGTAGAGTTGATTTCAATATTTTTCAATGACTATTGCTATGGTTGATTAAATTAAATTATTGTTGTCGGTATCGTCGGAAATAAGTTATGCCAGATTACTTCCGTGACTACGAAAAGGAGGCACGAAAGATGGTGTAACAAAATGAGTTACGTAATGCTGAATCCGCTTACGTTATTGGTGAACGATTTACGACGTACCTGAGGATGATAGGACGCCGTAAAGTCAATTGAATTAGATAGACAGATAGAATATATATTATAAAATAATAAAAGATAGGTGCTTTGGAATAATTAACTATACGGACAATACATATGTGTACATATATACATGGTAGCCTTGTTGAAAGTATTTTTTTCAAGACAACCATAGGGTAACAGATATATATTACTGTAGAAATGTTTGGGTGACATTCAAATAGGTATAAATAAGCTAGAGAAGCAAAATGTTTCTTAGACACTGTTTTGTATGTTTATGTGGGTCATAATCATACAAACACAAAAAAAAATATCTTTCATCTATTTAATATATTTTAGTTTGCAATAGAAACATAAAAAATATTTTTTGCACGTCATCTTAGATTATACAGTCCAGGCGCGGTTGTAGGAACGTGTGACTCAAATTCTATTCTACAAGTCTGCAACGCTGCTACGTCGGGATTTCAGCGGGCCAGAAGAAAAACGTTAACCGTTATACATTTGAGATTAAAATTCGGTAATGACCGTATTACCCATAATCATAAGTTTCTATTGTAACAATTTTCATTAATTAAAAAACTAGCCCGGAATCTCTGATTTTTATTTACATCTCACGAAAAAGCACATAGTAGTATTATTACATTTACCTTCTAGAAAGTTCCAACCACGTTACATAATACGAGCCAGAATCCATAGCGACGAGCTCGACAGCCAAAGACCTCGGCCAGTCGAGATCAAATCGATCTGGTGACGGCGCTGGTGCTAGTACGTGGCGGGCTAATGGATCCACTTCCTGGGACCATCCGTCGGAGAATACTTCTACTAACTCTTCGTTCTGTAGAATAGAATAGAAATTTAAGCATATATATATATATATATATATATATATATATATATATATATATAAATTAACATCTCAGTAACACAGCGCCATAACAAGTAAAACAAATATAAATACATATTTTGTTTGTAAATATATAAATAATATCCATAGAAAATAAACCGACATAATAATCATATGCAACATCATTACAATTGTTTGTTCTAGACGAATTGATATAATAAACTACATATATTTTAATTGTTATATATATATATAATAATATCCATACTATTTTCATCTTTATAAATCCCTGTTTACATTATACAATACAATACAATTAGATATGACAATTCTCAAATCATATAATGCAATTTTTTTCGAGAGGAAAAACAGACAATTGTAATCGTCGCGAAATTGGGATTATTGTTTTATAGTTTATAAATATATACATATAATATATATATATATTATTATATATATTTTTTAAATACTTTATAAATCCCTTGTCAGATTATTAAATTTTATTTATGTAATACAATGTGTGTATATATATGACAATTTATCATATATATGTACAATGTATCGTTTTATATTTATATTTGCACCGTCAAAATTATTCTCTGCACATTATAATTGTAATCGTCGATGTGCATTTAATTATCAATTAATTTATCATTGCAATTATACGTGTAATTAAAATGTAAGCATCTTTGAAATAATAAATAAATACTCAGATGGAAAATAATTCTCGCAGAATTGTATTACATGATATGATATACCAGTATATACTAACATACCTAATATAATTCTGAATAACACATAATTTTTTTTTTTAATTAGACCTTAAAACATCAGAGTGGATTTTCTAAAGTGTAATTTCTGAGTTAATCCAGTTTTGTACTAGGTGTGCGATACGATAAAATAGTAAAACGTGGCGAAGGCAAAATTACCTGAGTACTTATTAAAGTTTTATGTAAAAATGGCTGAAGGAAAGAGGATCATCAAATATTTACGGAATATACAGTAAAACAAACTAAATTAGTAAAAAATACCCAGAAAGGGGGAAATATTTATTTTTATCAATGTTAAATAAATATAATTAGTTATATATTATATAATTTGTGTGTGCAAATATTATATAATTGATGAGTTTCATACTAGGTCACAGCTAGTAAGCGTTATAAAATCATTGATAAACGTTTATTATTAAAATAAGAACTGCAGATGATAGATTCGTCGCTTAGCATAATACTCAAGTGCTCAGTTCTCATAATGGTTGCAATGAACAACACAATTACAATGTCTCATACTATCCCCATTGATTTTATAGTGGTGCAATACTTTTATAGAAATCATAAAAAAAATATCTCTAGAGAAACGATGTCGAATGTTCTGTGCAATGCACAACATTGTTGTTGCTTGCAGCTAATATAATCTAGTCAGGTGCGTCACATAACACTTGTACTAACATTATGTGTATCTCTAAAAACAGTTAATATATTACAACTATTGTCTTAAGGACATACAAACATTATTAGTATGAGGAGACTTTAAACAAAGTCGTCTAGGTGAATGACTTTGTTATACTTATTTCTATGGAATGTACACACTAGGTTCTGGCCCAGGAGTGTTACCAAATAATATAAGTTCTATATATTAATTTATACTTTTACATGTTTTTAATTTTTAACCAGGGCTGGAATCTTCTTGTAATTATAGTTAAATACTTAAGGTAAAAGATTTCGCTCTTCTAGGGTTGTTTATTATTATATTTCTAAATAGATATATATTTAAAAATAATGATATATTAAACATTTCTATATGACATTAAGAAGAAAATACCAATAATTACCTGTTAATATTCGTACAGTAAAAATTACACGTGATAAGTATGAAATATAAGAATGTACTTGGGGTATTACAGACATCACATAATGATGGAATGTCCATAGTTATGTTCGTGTCTAGAGCATACACCGTTACGTATAATAAATTTAACAGATTACAAATGTATTATAAAAAAAAAAATACAAACCTCTTCATCAGGCGGATCAGGGCATATGAAAATTGGCCACAATCCTCCAGCGTACACTGCGATTCGGTTTGATGTTCTACACAAGTGTCTTAGGTCTGGTGCAACAGTTATATTATTTAATAAAGTAAAATTGTCTAGCTCAGGTTCTTTGATTATGCTACCACGAATTTGGAGGTATAGATATCTTCCAGGAGAAGGATCGATCAGCCAAGGACGATGTTCGCAGCGGTCCTGAAAATTAATATATCATCTTAAATTAATGGTAACACAACAGAATTCTCATTTACAGCCGATATGTTAAGTAAATCTAATAATATCGTAGCAAAATTCTCCTCACTGACTATTGTTATAGTAGTAAAACCTCAGGAACTATTAAATCTACATATTTTAAAAAAGACATTCTTTAAATTTAGTCTTCGAAGTTCAGCTTTTTGAAGAAATTAAAATATATTTACAAACATATATTTTATCTAAGAATGTAATAAATACGGTATAATGACGCCCTCGGCGGTTGCGGGTTTGTTTCCTCGCACGGTGCAAACATTTGTATTCAAGAGTATTATTGTTTGTATTGGCCTGAATGTCTCTATTTATATTATGTATGTATTTACTAAAAAAAACATATCTAAGTATTTATATCAGTTGTGTAGTACCCATAACACAAGCTCTGCTCACCGACTAGATGGCGCAGTGTTAATTGGCCAAGGTTATTTATTATTATTTATTATAGGTTAGCATAGGATGTCATATATCATACCGTTTCAGTCATGGTCTGTGTCGATGATAGTCTCAAGTCCCCACTCGCTCCAATTACTCTATGCGTCCTCTCACACTGAACATCGATTCTGACGAATTCAACCGATGCTTCGAAACCAAAAGAACGAAAGTCGTCTACTGCCGACATATTGACGACATCAAATTTTAATTCTGCTACCGTTGACGACGATGTAAATTCGTAATCCCCAACATCACTGAAATTATTATAATTGGAATAGATTTATAAATCAAATGTGTAGTTGGCGGCCTCCATAGCCTAGCGGTATAGTACCGATGCGATGGTTGCGGGTTCGATTCCTCGCACTCGTTTGAGTTAATTATGAATACAACTGTTTAGTTGTATTCATAATTATAGTATATTATATTGTTTATATTGGTCTGAGTGTTTTGTATGTATATTGTGTCTAAACATTTATATCATTTGTCTAGTACACTTAACACAAGTTTTCAACCTTGGGACTAGATCGCACGGTGTGAATTGTCCAGGTGTAAAAAAGGTAGAATGTTTTGTACCTTTTTTTACATCTTTTATCTATACTCTAATTTATATAGCACTGCTAGCGTCCGGTCTAAGACCTCCCTATCTCATTCATAATCAACTCTTATCAACAAAATCAACATTTACCTCCAATAAGCAAATTATTTATATAGAATTTTATACAAGAAGTCTGTTAGATCATTAATTAAAATCAATGGGAGACTGTATTACCTGCATAAGCAGTCTCTCGGTATTCCCGGTCCTGCATTATTCCAAGGTCTATCAAAAACCCTAACAGCTGCTGTAGGATCTCCGGCGCATCGGTACCAAGCTGAATGTGCTGAATGTACAGACCGACAAAGCCGGCCACCACTACGCACTCCCCAAACCCGAAGCCGCACTACTTCTCCAGGATTTGCTTCAAACCGGTATGTACAACTGTAATATATAATATTCATCCGATTTGTTATATTTAGTCTTAGTTAATCAGTAGCCAAAAAAAATTAAAGAGTAATTTGATTAAAGATGGTTGGAGTACTGTAAACAAACATATGTGATGAAAATTCATCGATATGAGTTTAGGAATGTTCTACTACTGTTAAAATATTGTTTAGTGTTACAGAAGGTCACAAAAATTGTTTGCTAATTTATTACGCTATTTATTCATTAAAAATGAACTAACTACTCTAAATAAAAATACACAGCTATGGTTCGGCGGGTTAGGAATTTAACATATTGGACAAATTACAAACCCACCAATTTTATTTATTTCTATATATATTTATATAATTTACTACGCATAACAGAAACTCTGCTTAGCTATGACTATATGGCATTAGTGTGCATTATCCCAGGTTATTTATTTACTTAAACATAGACGTAATGACCACTAGCATGCTTAACATATAAACACGGATAAAGGTTAAACCTTACCTTATGTTTCTTGCTCCTCCTCTTCCATACAAAAATACATCTCTTGGAGAAGAAAAAGTCACAGGAGGATCTGGTGGAGCTTCTGGGAAAGACCTCGATGTAAACCGTCGTGAACAAGAACCTCGGCCCCATGGTTCACCATCTTGATGTAGATCAACGAACTCGTAAAGTGCTTTGAAGAAAATAGGCCTGTAATGTAACGAAGTAAAAATGAAATGTGAGGCGCTATATCACATAGGTACGTACCTAATCATAAGGCTTTGCATAAAAGAGGTTCCACTGAATTCATTAATTGTCGAGTCAGTTTTAGATAATAATATTTTCTAAATAGCTTCAGAGTTAGGCCTGAAAGTATACATTTCGTGGTGAGTACTGTTAATGCCCGTATTTGTTAAAGAATATACATTGCCACTTTTTTCATCTTCAGGATTTTCTGACAACCGTCTGTGGGAAGAATAGCATTTTACACTAATGTAAGTGAACGAAAACTTGAAAGAAAATTTTGATAACTCAGCTACGTCACTAACAGTAGTCTAATATCGTCCTTATATAGAGAGAGAGGCTGTACCAAGCTGCCGTGGAATATTAGCGGCTAATTATTGTTATGTACTTACTTTAATGCTGTTCCTTGAGTTAATTTGAGTTCAAGTGTCAATGAATCTCCTTTCGATAGAAAGCTTTCAGTACGAGCACAAGCTCTAGATTTTCTTAACAAAGCATGTTCACATGTCCGTGGAGCACGCTCTCGACAAAACCTCGCTACAAGTGTTGCATTTGTTGGTGGACGACCAACAATTACGGACTGAGGTGAAGTGGCTCTTGACATCTGTACTGATCTCTCTTTATCACTGTAATATATTAATTAGATGATATTAAAATTAAAATTTTCAACAACAAACATATAATTACTAAGTTTAAGTAAAATGAAGAGAATAGAGATGGTAAAATACAAGAAATAAACAAGGTTTCTAAATTGTTATAGTAGTAATTAGTGCACAATCCATTTGTAACGTTTTACGAACTACTTTACAAAATGGCGTAAATTATGTTCAGACAATTCGTAATTTCATTGTTGTGGGGGTCAGAATTTTAAAAAGAATATTTTATGAAATGGCGAAATATCAGCATCATCTTTTTATCAGGTTATTAGTTATTGCGCATATTTCCTTAAAAAAATGTCTCACAAATTAAACAGCTTTTATATTTTGGCATGCAAATATTGAAAAATGGCAAGTTTATTTTAACACAAAGAACACAAAAACGAAAAGGAAAACATTGCTCGGGAGTGTAAACATTGTATGGAGTGATCTTATTAAAACGACGACAAAGCTGTCCATTATGAAATGTTCTCAGATATATTTAAATTCAAATCTACGAAGTTATATCGCCAAGACTTCTATCGTACTCATTTATATAAATGTAATATTCATTTTTGTGTGTTCGATATTTATTTCTCAAATATAAGAGTAACAACGACTACCGTCTCAAATACTATGACCATTCTGTGAAAAATAAATGACTGTAGCAAGATAGAAATTATGCATAAACTTCAGCAATTTTACTTACCAAAATATATCACTGCACCCGGGCGATATTCTCATTGGCCCATCCCATATATTCAAATGACTCCCACAGTACTCATCCTCTGGCAGGTTCGGATTGAGGGCATTGGTTACATAAAATTTCAATACTGAAAACCATACTTTGAATCTTGGAGCAGAAAATGACGTTCTTCTATAAATTATGTTTCTCCCAGATGGACCCGAGGTATCGATTCCTTGCATATGATATAAGCAAGTGGTGTTTGGAGGCAAAGAATGTTGCGGGTGTTCTAATACACCTCTTCCGGTTCCCCTAATCCAGAATTCACAAGCTCTTTTATTTTTCGCATATGTAGGTGACTGTTGATCCACAAACCTGACCTGAAATTGATTGATTACAAAATTATTGGATTTAAACTAAACCTAGATAAGATTGATAAAGTAAAATTGTTTACAAATGTGAATAAATCGATACCTAGTATTTTTATTAGAACACTTAATAAAAAAAACTAGGTATTATAATGATAATGAATATGAAATAATAAAATATAGAATTATTTGTTATCTATTGTATATTTTTAGTAGCCTTCTTATAATAAAGAATGGAAGTTATAGTTAATATGAAGGTATAATTCTCTAATATAGTAAGTGAACAAAAAGATAAGGGTGCGTCCTAAATTCGTAATTTAAAACAATGCAAATGCCTACGATAGCTTGCTGGCTCCATTATTGTGACCGAACCGTACAGGCCTACGGTACTAATTATACTTTGGCACACGCCCAGACGAGGCCTCCAGGGCGTTACTTGATTTATTATTGTTCACTGAGAGCGGAATACTTTAAATAACACTCCATAATGATATATTACTCTATTAACCCAATTTTGTCCGTATGCGTAGATGGATTAGGTTTAAGAAAATTTGATAGTTCTGTTGTAAGGAATTCTACTTAGCTTAAGGTGAAGTAAATTTCATGGAATTTCCAAATTAATGTTTAAAATAATTAATCTTGACTCGGTTAGAAGCTTGTAATATTGATGATAGATGAGCAAAATTTATCTGCTGTTATTAGATTTCCTTGTTTAGTTACTACTATATTTAATCATGAAATTTACCTACAGGTATTATTAGATAAGTACTCTAATAGAAATAGTTTAACGCCTTCATATTTCTGATCTAAAATAGCAGATTTGCGTTTAAATATTTTAATTTAAAGTTATTCATAATAATGTTAAGAGATTCCGACTAATAAATGGAAAATGTATAAATAAAAAATATAATTACTAAGAAATTGTACCTCTACTTCTAACTGAAACCCGTGTAAAGCTTGCGAAGTTGCTGGTTGAAGAAACGTTCCAAATGGCGAAGTTGTGAATTCCACTAACAACTCGGGACCACTCGATATCGCTTCTGGTACAGACACGCCTCCACCACAAAACCTCAGAATAACAGGATCTCTAGTTGTATACCCATCGTAAACTGTTACATAATCTTGCACCTCATCGCATTGTTGCCAAAATTTTAACTCCCTTCCATTATTTCCTCTGTCTTGTTGTGCATTATATAAAGCTTTCTGGCTTCTTATAGATATCAGTTGCCCATTAGGCTGCTTAACTACAATTAAGGCGTGCTTTCCCTGAGGTACTTCATGTTGTCTCACTGCATAATAGCATGTTAAGTTTCTAGGGTAAACGCCTGGAAAATTGGGCGACTGTAACCTACAATTTTTACGATCACAGTCACTGAATATCCGCGAGCAATAAGTCCCTGAGATCAGGTCCCCGAGGTAATGTTCCGAGGTTTTTGGCGCTTTTCCGATATTCGTATCTTCACCACGTGATATGTTTACGGGGTAAGGCAGTGGTCTTAGTTTAAAAAAAGGACGCTCTGAAATAAATATGTGTTATAAAATTATAAAATATTTTAATAATTTTATATTTATCCTCCATATCACATGTCATAGGAAATATATCCAAGAAATGTTCGTTGTAACCAAGACAAATATTATTTATTACTCATAAAGGTCTCATAAAAATGAAGTTAAGCAGTACATTTTAGTCAGATTCATTTTATTCATTTCATTATTGCCTTGTAAGTTATGTTTGTTTTGAAGGGTGAGATAAGGCAGTGAAATTACAGGATATGCGACATAACTTTTTAGTCATTTCAATTACAAAAACATATATTATAATTTAAACGTTCACTTACGGATGTCCCGATATATGTATAAGTGAAATAATATCCCATCCGGAATAAATACGTCATTGGCAATATCAAAAAAGGAAATATCCAATAGAAACACATTCGTCACGTCTTATTTGATTTACTTACCCGAGGGCGGCGTGCCACCATACCGTACTGTTGCATACTCTCTTCTCAAAACCTTATAGGCCATTCGGAAATTGAAATTGTAATTGTTTTGCTCTTTCGATAGATGGAGAAGTCTTATTATTAAGGTTATGGATTTGGTTTCGCTATAGTATATAGATGGGCCCCACGATGTACCGCACCAGGAGCCTCCAACTTGGGGTCGACTGGTCTCTTGAATCTGCATGTAGCCATCTGGGCAACCATCTTCCGTGAATGACGTGAAGCGGCCAAGTGTGAAACTATCAAATAATACCTGTTGACAATACATTTTAATGAAATATTAATTGGATACATACATTAGTTGGATAATGGTATATTGTTAATTTTCTCATATTGTTGTTTGAAGGTATATGGAAAATAATCCAATGGTAATCAAATGTTAATTTATTGATTAAAACGGGTAAAGAGCCTGGAAACAGTAAAAGTTAAAATCTTTTTTAATATTTTATCTCGATTTTTTCTATACTAATTTAGATTTATTTGTATGTTGACATATTACACAGATACTTTGATAATAAAAAAAGATTTTATTGAAACTTTCATAGTCATTGTTAATAAAAATATCATATGTAGCTTATTGTAAGTGGTCGATTAGATCCTAGGCAACAAATTGTTTTTCACATTAACCATTTCATGTACATGAAATATCAATCATGTGGGATATAAATGGGTTAGCTGTCAGTTATAACATTAACACTAGTATATCATGTCATACCTCTAACTGACGGCTTCCCATCATTAACATATGAATAATTTCATTAATCCATACTTCAAAATTGTTTCTCCCAGTCCGTATTTCTGTTTCTTTTTCACGACTATACGCCTGAATGGATCTAATCAAATTGGATGTGAAGATGATTGTATCACGAGGATATTACGAATGTGAGGATGAATTTATATCTTACTTACATCTTAGGGATTTAACAGCCCAACCAATCGCCATGATTGGTATATACGTAATGTGTAGATAGTATACTTTTTATCTTGTTTAATTGACATATTCTACACGAGGGCCTGGTTTCAGGTAAGAGCATGTATGTAATAATAACCGACACGCATCCCTCAATAATTTCATATAGCCATTATAATAATGTATTAGTCGAATACCATAGCAGATGTCAACCCTCTCTCGGCTCTCGAGTAAATTGGAGCAACTCTAAGCGCTTACCTAATGGATCAATTAAATTTGCAGACCACTTTCAATGGGGCAATTATAATAAAAGAGCAAGTCGTGAAATTTAATGACACGCCTACCATCCGGAATAGGCTACTAGTACTACCAGTACAAGTATACCTGCTCGTATGTTTTATTTTATTATTTGTACACGAATTGTAGAATTATATGTACCGTTTCCGCATTGTTCAAATTTGAATGTAATGTTTACATAATTAAGGTACATTGTTCTTTCTACATTTTTATATTGTAGAAGATTAAAAATAATTTATTATTTTTAGTATTGCTCTTAATATTATCCGGTGTTTATAATTGCATACTTATATTATATATACAGTCTGTCTGTCTGTTTATTATTATTTCATTACTAAATAATTACACGTCTTCGTCTTTATGAAATTTGACTTGAGATTGTATCACAAGAACGGCTATAGGATCTCTTTTTATACAGAACAAGCAGACGAATTAGTAGGTACTAGGTAATCTTTATTCTGAAAACCTCGGTGGTCTAGCGGTTAAGCACACCGATTTATTTACGACGGGTTCGATACACACGGTACAAACATGATTTTTTATGACCGACCTGCGTAATTTTTATATACTATATTGTGTAGGTTTGTAGTTAGAAAAATATCTAAGTATGTATATCAGTTGTCTAGTATCTATAACACAAGGTCTGCTTAGCTTGGTACTAGATGGCGCTATATGAAATATCCAGGATTTATATTATCACATTTAGTTAATTAATTATTCATAATATAACTATTTTAGTCTGTACTTCTAGTTCAATCAGTTGGATATATTACACAAATTATTCAGCTGTACATAATTTATGCGACTTCTATATATGAGCTTTATCAGTAAGTTAAATAACACAGTAACTTAAGTGTACGGTTTCAAATTCTCGTAAATCTATGAGATTAATGCCGTCTTTGATGAGGTGGTTATTTGGTAAAGATTATTTGGATATTAGTATTATTTATGTAACTTCGAGACATGTAATATCATATATTTGAAATGGAAAAGTTACCCTGTAAATTCATATTAAAAATAAATTCACATATATAATCAATAAATAAATGACTCTGGATAACTAACACAGCGCCATCTCTAGTTCCACGGTAAGCAGAGCTTGTGTTATGGATACTAGACAACTGATATAAATACTTAGACATTTTTTTTTGTAAATACATACATAATATGCAAAGAAAACATCCAGACCGATACAAACAATCATACGCATGAATACAAATATTTGCACCGTATGATACAAATATTTGCATCGAACCCGCAACCATTAGAAGTAAAGAGATGTGCGAAACCACTAGATCACCGAGGTCATATTTATCATTATTTATATAATAAGAAAAAAACTTCTTTAAAGGTTTATGTATTCCGTGGCAACCAATAATTAAGTCAACACTTCTTGCAAGTGATAGTAATTCTAATTACATTTCTTTTGTTGGTTGCTCGAATAAATATTTTTAATAATATAATTTATGAACTCCCGATATGTTGACGCGTTACAATCCAGGTCGGTTGACAACATCAGGGATCGACATGATAATTATTTATTAGCACACAAAATAGATAATTTCATTGTAATTATTCTGTTTATATAATGTGTAGACTTGTAAACAAGCACAAAAATAATTAAATCTGTGTTTATCCTGTAAGTGTCTTACATTTACAAACAAATTCTAACAATTACTTCTAAACTAAAAATAATTATTAATTATCAGGACACTTAATAAGATGCTGCTAACAATTGCTTTTATATTGGGAATCCTACTTTTTTATTTATCAAGTAGCAAACAAGCTGGTAATGGTAAATGGTAACTTTTGCATGAATACAAGAGCTTCACGTCATTATGTAGCACCCACAGTATCTCTCATATGTCACCTTTCCGGTGGACTATGGTGTTAAGTCTTGTCCTTCAAAGGAATCAGTTAGATATTTTATTTTATTTTATTATAGGCAGGTGAAAAAGAGGTGCACACGATTTTGTACAAATTTACCTCACTAAACTTTCTAACTCATATTCGTGTTTTCTTAGGCACATAGCCCGCAGGAATGGCTACGCATGAGTGGTATCATGGGCCCAGATGACTCTTTATATTACTCTATATGTAGGTAGACGATGATTGTCGATTTCAACAGGCAGGCCGTCACAAAAATCCTAAAAATCCGTTACGTAAAAAAACTCAATAACAACTACGAACTATGATTGTTACATTTTTATCTGGTACTTCTGAATAAAAGAGGTTTTTGTAATTAGTATTAGTAGTATCACTGTTGCGTTGGTTTTGTTGACATTGTGAGCCTTCTATCAAATATTATATATATGTATCTACATATTTTACCTTTATTATTCACTATATTTTATCTACACAACGGATACACATATAAACCCCTACAATCATATCATATACCTATGATATATATTATTTCAATTATAGCAAAAGAACTTGTTCATTTATTTCTCCCAAAAATAAAAGGAAATAAATCGTCCCTAGCGCGTTTCATCATATACGCTTCGTTCATTCAGAAAATTCGATTTCATACGAGCAAGGCTTCGCGGCTCTTTGATGAAATTTAAATGTGACGAGGCAACAGCAACACGTTGCGTTGTGGCGCTTCAATTTACGTCTCGGAAATAAACTTCGCTGAGAGATCTGTCTAGACGAACCTCGGCATTATGATTTCAACGTCTTTCCCGCTTCATTTTGTTGTCCGTCTGTCCGTCCTTCTACACCAAGAATAGTAAATGTTTTACCAAACTAACCAAACGGATGATTTTGTAATTTTACCCGGGCTACTAATGGTAATTATTGATATTGCTATTAAAGCATTGGAATAAAAAATAAGCAAAGTAATGAATAATAAAAATTAATTTAATAATTCATTATTATTACGAAAATAATAAAATTTATTAAACTTATAATAATGAAACAAAGTTGTATATTATCACTTCCTATACCATATATTTTTACTTCCTTGCATATGCTATTTCAAATTTGTGTGTTATTTATATTATTTTTCATAGTATCTATCAATACCTTCTAGAATTTAGATTAGGTCTACATTATCATATACTAATTCATTTATATTTTTTTATATTTTTCCTTTGATGGGGTAATATAATTATTTTTGCAGGGAAGTCCCCAGAACAAAAACGATTCCAAAAAAATATGATGTAATCTAAACTCACCTGATTTCGGTCAGGCAAATTAATAAATGAGAGACTAAAATAGATTTGATACTAGTTACAGCATTAGAAATAGAAAGTAGATATTAAGAACTGATCTATCTTATCGTTTGGCTAGCTGACCCACACACATTCGTCTGCATCACGTTTACCCAATTTATACATCTTTTTAAATAATAAACTATGTGTTATTTGGATGTATAAGCTACTGTAAAAATTCACTCAAATCCGTTCAAAAGTTTTTCCATAAAAGCGTAACAAACATCCATCCATCCATACTCACAAACTTTCGGTCTCATAATATTAGTAAGATAAACATGCATACACATGTACATTATAAGCACTTATTGCAGGTTATATATAATATAATACTGCACAAAAAACATATACTAAGTACCTTGAATTCAACACGCCCTGTTACGTCACAAACAGTTCACTCCACAGAGCAACACCTGCATTGACTCGCTACATTCTAGGTATTTTGAAGGCATTCTATAGAATGAACGTATCTCAAACTTAGATAAGAAATTCTGGAAATACTTTTCGAATTGAATAGAATAAAATTGCAGTCGTTTCTGACTAGAAATGACTGAAATTTTATAAAAGTACCTTTCAACAAATACTAAATAGGTACGTATAGAAGATTAATTCGTTTTTAATAATATATATGCTGCTGATAGTATAAATAGAGAGTTTATATATAAACCTTGCAATAGGCAAGAGTCTTTCCGTGATGAAGTCTGCAATGAGATCTGTAGATCATCATAGTCATCATTTAAAAAAAAACTTGCATCATACTAGGATACTAGATTTTAAGATCTAGTCATTAGAATGCTTAACAATGATGTTTAAATTTTTTTGG